CAATTCAGACAGTTCGGTTCATCGGCAGATGCGATCCAGCCTCAGTGACGGTCAACTGCAACAGCTGAAGAAGAAATTAAAGTATTGGAGACAAAAGAAACCTCCGAACCCTCTGCTCCACCCTCCTACAGTCCAGTAGTAAAGAAAGGGGAATGGGAGGGGGGTGTTGGGCACGGGGTACGGGATTACAGTAATAACCCTGCTAAACGTTATCATCAAAGATGCAATTGTTATGGGGGAATTTTCGGCTATGGGTCCCTCGGCATTCCCGGTGTTTAACACTCCACAGGGGGGAAAAAGGTGGGAGGCATTGGATTTAAAGGCTGTAAAGGAGGTGCGTCAACCGGTAACATCCTACGGGTTAAAATCATCGTATACTCGGGCAATTATCGCACATATTTTTTCTGCATATATCCTAGCACCATATGATATCCATATAATAGCTCAATTGTTGCTTACTCCCCACCTTCAGATGTGATTTAAAGTGAGCACAGCAGAGGAAAAGGCTGGATACATGGCTACTGCCTTTGCTGCTGCTGTTAAACCCCTTTTACAATAAGGTTAGAGCGATCACGGGGGTACTAAAGATATGAGATGTTATAATTGTGGATGGACGGGACATTGTAAAAAAGAAACAGTGTACTGTAACAAAAACTAGTTCAGCAGCCCGCCGCCCCCTTGTCAGTGACTGAATGAATTGAAATTTGATCTTAGGACATCCGTTTTATGGATGTTTTCAGTCCTTCTTAAGGTGAAGGGAGCAACCTTTTTTACGTTAAAGTAAAAGTTCTGCATCAAGACCTGCAGTGGAAAGGTCTGTGATGAACTGTGGACTTACATACAACTCATTTAATACAATCTCTCTGTGATACTTATGTACTAGAAACTGGTAAAAATAAGTATGTCCAGGTTTCTATCGACCTTTGGAGACCTTTATAAATACTGCTGGCTACTTCTTCCAACATAGGCTGGCCACCTGTGTCGGAATGAGTGTGCATTTTGGTCAGTATAAAAGCCCAAGCCTCATGCGATGTGGGGGAGGCAGAGCCTCTGCGGGGACGCCTGCTAAGGTTGAGCCTGCCACCTCGCACTGCAATGATGCTTCTCGGAGCTGGTTTTCTTGTTAGTCTCCACAGGGTCCTTGTGCCACGTTCTGTATGTGGGATTGTGTAGTGGGAGTAATGATTGTCTGGATTTTGTGCTTCAAATACTGTAGTTGTGTGGACTGTGCTTGTGGGATCCCATACGTGTGTGTGTGTGTATTGAGGGCAGACGGTGTTCTGTGTATTTTTTGTTGTTGGGTTCATGTAAAAGTTTCTAATAGATAGTAGTTTAACGTTTCAGACAAGAAAGGGTTAATGCAAAAGTGAAGTTGCCGACAGATATTTATGGTTGCTGCTGAAGCAGGCAGGCAGCTGTAGCTGCTGCCGAGCAGGCAGGCTTTTGTTGCCGTGCAAAGCAGGGTGAGCAACTTCAAGAAAAAAAAAAAAAGTTATTTGATAAAAGTTCAGTTCCCATGTTCAAAAGAAGCTGCTTTCAGATTCGGCTCCTGGTGCTCCACTGGTGGAAGGACCAGGATGGACACCAGAGCCGAGGAGAGAAAAAACAAAATAAAACAAAACCAAGCTTAATATGTTTAGAGTAACCTGAGGATGAATCCAAGACTTGGAGGAACAGATAGATCGGTTGAAACAAGAACTGCTAATTGAAAAAGCGAGAGGGGTAGTGCAACCACAAGCATTACGAGCCGTCACCTAAGCAGCATCAGGGTGGCAGATACAGAACCTATCTACTTCTCAAGAACTGATAACCTGGAAAACGGGGTGTATCTGTGTCCTCCTGCCTACAGGTCCATGGCAACTGCCTGCAAAGTTTGTCAAGCCTTGCCATGAGCTGGACAGACAAATAGAGGGACCTGATGCCTCAGCTGCAGGAGCTGAATGTGAATACTCCGAGCAGAATGAGATAGGGGAAGAGAAAAAAAACAATGATTGCTAAACATTATTTGGGAGCAACTGAAAAGTAACAGCTTGAATATGTGTGTTTGTAAAGTAGCTATTGTTAGAACCTTTGATTTTGTGTATGAAACCACCTGTATTTACTAGCCAGTTACTGATAACAAACTACAGCTTGTATTATATGGATGTCACTTGTAAAAGAAATGTTAGAGTATGCAAATTTGTAGTAGCTGCTAGAAAATTCTAAGGCAAAAGATAGAAATATTCTAATACAATGGTAGTGTTATAAAACAGGTAAAGGAACAAGTTAAGTGGGTGAGAGAATTCCACTGGTAAGAAATTTCTTTGGCTAGTCCCTTGCTGGCATCAGCATCCTCAACATGCTGCTGCACCCTGTAATAGTTACTCTGCTAATCTAAATCTGTGTGTGACTCTTAGCCACATTAAAGAGGCGCTCACCAGCATAGTGAAACAAGCCTGGGTTGCTCAAAAACAAGGAGGGGGAATTGTGGAAGGATGGTTGCATGACAGAGGAAGACCTGCACTCCTTGGAGTGAGCAACCCAGTCTTTAGGGTGTAAGGGAAAAGGCCAGGGCCTAGCCCTGGCTCTTGACCTTTCTTGAACGCCTTTAGCTGAGAACAGTAAACAACTCTTGCAGAAGTGCCCCGGGGACTTTCCAGAAGTACATCTTGCTTGAGCAATGTAAGCAACCCTGTGGACAGCTTGCCATCACCAATCAGATGAGAGACCGTGGCGTGTGACAGCGGACGATCACCAGTCAGAAGAGAGACCGTGGCGCTTGACAGCGGGCTATCACCAGTCAGAAGAGAGACCGTGGTGTGTGACAGCAGGCGATCACCAATCAGAAGAGAGACCGTGGCGCATGACAGTTGTTGGGGACCAATGATAACTTTGCTTTAGGCGCGCGGCTTACTTTAAATCCTATATAAGCACTGCGTATGCAGACAATAAAGGAGAACGATCATACTCATATTGAGGTTGCGTCGTTACTCCGGGCCCGACTCCCACTCCGACACCTGCTATTGCAGAAGAACTTCTACCTGAAAGTCAGTGTGGTTTCAGGGTTAATAGAAGTACCACAGACATGGTATTTGTTCTCAGACAATTGCAAGAAAAGTGTAGAGAACAGAATAAGGGGTTATACGTAACTTTCGTTGACCTCACCAAAGCTTTTGACACTGTGAGCAGGAAAGGCTTGTGGCTGATCTTAGAACGATTAGGTTGTCCCCCCAAGTTCCTCAAAATGATTATTCTGTTACATGAGGATCAGCAAGGCCAAGTCAGGTATGGCGATGCACTCTCTGAGCCTTTCCCAATAACCAATGGTGTGAAACAAGGTTGCGTTCTCGCACTGACCTTATTCACAGTCTTCTTCAGCATGATGCTCCAAAGGGCTACAGCAGACCTCGACGAACAAGACGGCATTTATATTCGATATCGTACCGATGGTAGCCTATTCAATCTAAGGCGACTGAAGGCCCACACTAAGACCCTAAACCATCTTGTCCGTGAACTGCTCTTTGCTGATGATGCCGCCCTTGTTGCCCACACAGAAGCAGCTCTGCAGCGTTTAACATCTTGCTTTGCGGAGGCGGCTGAGGTTTTTGGGCTGGAAGTCAGCTTGAAGAAGACAGTAGTCCTCTACCAACCTGCACCCCAAGAAGATCATCGCCATCCCCATATTACCATCGGCAAGTCAGACCTTAAGACAGTTCAGCAGTTCAGCTATCTGGGAAGCATCATTTCCTCGGATGCCACGATCGACAAAGAGATAGACAACAGAATAGCAAAGGCATATAGAGCCTTTGGAAAACTCCATAAAAGAGTCTGGTGTAATAAACACCTGAAGAAAAGTACAAAGATCAGTGTCTACAGAGCCATTGTATTGTCTACTCTTTTATATGGGTCTGAATCATGGGTCATCTACCGTCATCACCTGCGACTCCTGGAACGCTTTCATCAGCGCTGCCTCCGTACAATTCTAAACATCCATTGGACTGACTATGTGTCTAATGTCACTGTCCTCGAACAGGCAGGGGTCACCAGCATCGAGGCCACATTGCTGAAACTGCAGCTGCGCTGGGCAGGGCACGTCTCTAGAATGAAGGATCACCGCCTCCCCAAGATCGTGTTTTACGGTGAACTTGCCACTGGTAGCCGCAAGAGAGGTGTCCCAAAGAAGAGATACAAGGACTCCCTGAAACAATGCCTTAGCCTTGGCCATATTGACTACCATCAGTGGTCCACCTTGGCCTCCAATCGGGAGACTTGGAGGCACACCATACATAATGCCGCTGACTCCTTTGAGAGTTCACGAAGAACTAGTCTCGAGGAGAAAAGACAATGCAGGAAGAATCGTGTCCCACCTGTTCCACCCAAGGAGACCTTCTGCTGTGCTTTTTGTAGCCGGATTTGCCTATCCCACATTGGCCTTCTTAGTCATCAGCGCGCTTGTAGTAAGCGTGGGTAAATGCCCTTCCCAAATCTTTGTTCGCGAAGTCAAGCCATGATGATGATGATGGTTTAAGGTGGTAATAGAAGTGCTGAATCTTTTCTTAGTTTATGCTGCCGTTAACACTGTGGCCCACCTGTTTAATACAAAACTCTAAGCATTGGGCAGGTTTTTCTGCAACCTTATGTGTATTGAATATGCTGGCCAAAGGGGAGATCAGCAAAGGTAAAAAAACTTCTTAAGCCATTTTAAGACTGTAGGATAATGTTAATTACAACAACCTGACTGGTCTCAGTTAAAGTCCACAAAGCATTTGGAATTCCATCATACAAACTAAACTTCTATCTCTGAAGAAAAAAAAAAAAAATGTAGATGCATTAAAGAAAGTATTTTCAAGAGCCCCTTCTTTCACGTAAGAAAGCTCACATGAAGTTTACCTAGCTAATGTTCCTGCAGCATCTGCATGTACGTTATCCACAGGATGAATGTATAGAAGCTGTAGTCAGTGTGGCAGTTTTTATGTATACATTTATATCATCAGGCTCATTGACCAAAAATGAGAATGGCATAACAAAGACAAGTTCATTTTATGTTGGAAACTGAGAAGGCATGTTCTCTGCATGAAAATGGTAGTGCAACATTTAAAAATCTAATAAAGCATTCTGTTAAAGACCAAAACTAATGAACTACCATACTAAATCTTACCACACTTAGTTTGCAGGCTTGTCCCTGTCCCCATCCCCCACCCCTTTGCTGTGGTTCAACTTCTAAAAAATACTATTTTCCCTGGACACAACACATGTATTGCACTATATAGCCTACTTGACCATATATAGCCTACTTCACCACATCTCAAAATAATGATTCTGGTATAGCAAAGCTGTGATGGTACAAATAGATACATTTTGAGAGATTTACTTCCCCTTTAATTAAAAGGGCTATAAGTAAAATGGTTTTGAAGTTCACAAGCACATTGTTTCACACAGGTCTGTTACGTGTCTGACATAGGTGGTCACAGTACTATGATCTCTGGCATGTTTTTAAATAAAATACTGCATGCAATTTTGATGCATGTGTAATTACAGGAAAGTAAAATATATTAAAGCACCTTGTGTACTAGGTTAGCACCAGTTCCAACAAGATATTTAAACTATTCATGACCCTTGAAAACTAAATTTGGGGTGAGAACTGAGCAAAATTAAAGGCCATGTCTTCAACCACTTGGGCTTCTGCAATGCCATCATCACTTTTGTATGTTATATGAGTTGACTCAGATACTTGTTACAACACCAGAGAGCAGACATGGGTGATTGCCCACTTACAACATGAATGCAAACGTCCCACCTTGTTCATGAAAGGTAGAGTTGGGAGATAAAAAACACAGGGAAACAGCCGCTGGTAGTCACGGTTTGCACAATAACTATGTGGTGACACGTCTGCCACACTTGTCACGCCATAGCATTTCATGGCTCACAGAGCTTTTGTTTCATCTTTTTAAGAAGCCTCTTCACATAATGCAGAGCACACTTGCATTTAGAATGGCCTTTGACAGGGATTGTAGAAGTAGCGTTAGTAACTTTCCTGTCTCCTTGACTAGTTAGTCACAGATATTTTCAAGACTAATACCCATTAGTGTTGCACTAAGATGGAGATTACATCTAGTGGTCTGTGTGCAAAGTTCAGTGGGGTGGCCCTTTTTAAAAGGATAGCAAGTTCGTTTATATTTGTCTTGTACATCAACAGTAACTTTTTATCCCTGCATTTTTATAATAACCAATTATGGTCTTCATAGCATGAGGAGCAGTGTTTGTAAAAGGAATTAAATGTAAGCAAGATATGTCAATATTTCAGAAGTCACTGAAAACTATCTAGCTCTGACCTTTCCTGTAAGATCACGCTGAACCAGTGTTGCAGCTAAGCCGGAGAGAGTTGTCTAAATATTATCTTGTAGAATATAGTAGTTTAAGACTTTATAGACCTTTTCAGACAGGTTTTGGCTTGGCTTCTCTAGTATTTGTATTGTACATACTTACAACTTGTAGGATTGACAGAGGTCCTTAGCATTACTTGAGTGAAACCTCTCCAAAACCAGTGATGAGAGGATTGGGATGTTTGTCTGTTAGTCTGATACTGTACTGACAGCTCACGATAAATAGGAAAATCTGAAAAGCTGTATGTACTAAAAATGACAAATTTCAGAAAGAAGACAAATGACATTTATCTAGAGGAAAGAAAATAAGAGGTCATTTGTCAAATCTAGATTTTGCAGCAGTGCAGGATGTTTGTGGGGAAACTAACTTCCTATGTGTACTACCTATTTTATGTGGGCATGTACCTTATGAGAGCATTTATCAGAATGGCTGGGGATCTGGTTATCAACCATTATTTTCCTTCTAACTTTTAATATATACTCAGAATTGCGTACCAAGAATCAACCTGCTAATGGTCTCATTAGTTAATGAAACATGATTCAAAATTAGATGGCTGATTACAGGAATAATAAGCGAACAACCAGGAACTGATTAAATAGATGGAAAATTGATGTTGAGATGTGTAATTAATTCTGAGGAAGCCTGAACCATAAATAGCTTGGAGCTACTGCAGTCTTCCTGTAGGCAGTGAATCTCATAGTGAACTCTAGCTGTCCTGCTCCAATTTCCTGTTACTCTAAGCTTGGCTATTACTTTTCCCTTTATCTTAGATATATGATAACTTATTCGTGCAATATATGAACTACCTGAACACAGAGGGATTTTGTTTGAGTAGTAATCCCTAACAGGAAAGGTGGTGTGTATACAGTTTGGATTTAACAAAAAGAAAAACACAAAAATGAGGAAAATTTCCACCCACTCTGGACCCCAGCTGTGCACATACCACCTGTGCTGTTCAAGTTGTTCTGCCTCAAACTTTGTTAACAAAGTTTGGCTTTCATTATGGACATTCATAGTTTGATCACACTTCTTATCCAAGGTACAAAATACGATACTTTTGTATAGACACCTGGAGAATCTTTCACTCCACAGCCGTAGCCCCAGGAGGTCACACCATACACAACCCAGCTTCCCCCTGGACGTTCACACATCAGTGGACCCCCACTGTCTCCTTGACAGCTATCAACACGTTTCTGTTCCTGGATGTTTCCAGCACAGAGCATTCTTCCTGTGAATCTTCTTTTGTAACGTTCTTCGCACACCCTCTTGGGGAGTAAGGGGATGGCAGCCTGTTGTAATGTTCTTGAATAAGCACTACCTGAAAAGAGGATCAGAATTATTCTCTCGTGATGGTTGCTCTTGGAAACATAAATGTGGTTCAATCCAATTTTTGCTATCAGTCCTTCACACCGTTTTGTTATTAAGTAAAATGGCTGTAAACAAGACCAAATACTGAAAAATATCTACTGTGCATTAAACATAATACCAAAATACTACATAAATAGTGTAAATATGGCATATAGATATTTAAAAAAAAAAAACAAAGGGCATAAAATTTAAAGGTGGTTTTACGCCTTGAGTCCGCTGGATCTTTCCAGGACTGGGGTCTTTTTGTTCCAAGCATGCTTTTTGTTCTACAAAAATATACGCCTTAATACCTAGAAGTTACTTTTGGGAGTCTTGAGCTGGGAAATACTTCCTTTTTAGGTCACCAATTCAAGTCTAGTCTAGCTCAGTCTGACAGGTGCTGCATCCTCTGTTGGCTTCCAAGTAGAGCATCCAGGTAACCATCATGCTTACGCCCTGTAAGTACACACAGTCTTGCTTGTCATCTCAACTGAGAAGCTAACATAGAATCATAGAATAGTTAGGGTTGGAAAGGACCACCTAGTTCCAAGGATCATCTAGTTCCAACTGCCCTGCCATGAATAGGGACACCTCACACTAAACCATCTCATCCAAGGCTCTGTCCAACCGGGCCTTCAACACTGCCAGGGATGGAGCATTCACAGCTTCCCTGGGCAACCCATTCCAGTGCCTCACCACCAGTAAAGAACTTCCTCCTTATATCCAATCTAAACTTCGCCTGTTTAAGTTTTAAGCCATTACCCCTTGTCCTGTCACTACAGTCCCTAATGAAGAGTTCCTCCCCAGCATCCCTATATGCCTCCCTTCAGATACTGGAAGGCTGCTATGAGGTCTCCACACAGCCTTCTCCAGGCTGAACAGCCCCAACTTTCTCAGCCTATCTTCATATTTGAGATGCTCCAGCCCCTGATCATCCTCATGGCCCTTCTCTGGACTTGTTCCAACAGTTCCATGTCCTTTTTATGTTGAGGACACCAGAACAGCACACAATACTCCAAGTGAGGTCTCACAAGAGCAGAGTAGAGGGGCAGGATCACCTCCCTCAACCTACTGATCACGCTCCTTTTGATGCAGACCAGGATACGGTTGGCTTTCTGGGCTGCAAGCGCACACTGAAGCCGGCTCGTGTTCATTTTCTCATTGACCAACACCGCCAAGTCCTTGTCTGCAGGGCTGTTCTGAATCTCTTCTCTGCCCAGCCTGTAGCTGTGCCTGGGATTGCTCTGACCCAGGTGTAGGACCTTGCAGTTGGCATGGTTAAACTTCATGAGGTTGGCATCAGCCCACCTCACAAGCGTGCCAAGGTCCCTCTGGATGGCATTCCTTCCCTCCAGCGTATCAACCGAACCACACAGCTTGGTGTCATCGGCAAACTTGCTGAGGGTGCACTCAATCCCACTGTCCATGTCAGTGACGAAGATGTTAAACAAGACCGATCCCTACACTGATCCCTGAGGGATACCACTCGTTACTGGTCTCCAGCCAGACATTGAGCCATTAAAACTCTTTGTGTGTGGCCCTACAGCCAGTTCTTTATCCACCGAGTGGTCCATCCATCAAATTGATGTCTCTCCAATTCAGAGACTAGGATGTCGTGTGGGACAGTGCCAAACGCTTTGCACAAATCCAGGTAGATGACATCAACTGCTTTACCCCTGTCCATCAGTTCTGTAGCCCCATCATAGAAGGCCACCAAATTGGTCAGTCAGGATTTCCCCTTAGTGAAGTCCTGCTGGCTGTCACCAAGCACCTTGTTGATTTTCATGTGCCTTAGCATGCCTCGCGGGAGAATCCACTCCAAGATCTTGCCAGGCACAGAGGTGAGACTGACTGGTCTGTAATTCCCCAGGTCATCCATTTTCACCTTCTTGAAAATGGGGGTTATATTTCCCTTTATCCAGTCACTGGGAACTTCACCTGACTGCCATGATTTTTCAAATATGATGGCCAGTGGCTTAGCAACTTCATTCGCCAGCTCCTTCAGGACCCGCAGATGGATTTCATCAGGACCCATGGACTTGTGCACGTTCAGGTTCTTAAGATGGTCTCGAGCCAGATCCACTCCTACAGTGGGCCTAGGGTCTTCATTCTCACAGTCTACCTTCCAAGACTTGGGTGGTGTGGTCAGAGCATTTGCCAGTGAAGACTGAGGCAAAGAAGTCATTAAGAAGCTCAGCCTTCTCCAAATCCAGGGTAGCCAGTCCTCCTGATAGCTTCCAGAGAGGGTCCACGTCATCTGGAGAGGGTCCACGTTCCTGCTCTGGCAGGGGGATTGGACTAGATGATCTTTTGAGGTCCCTTCCAATCTCTAGCATACTGTGATACTGTGATACTGTCCCTAGTCTGTCTTTTATTTGCAATGTATCTATAGAATCCCTTCCTGTTATCTTTCACATTCTTAGGCAATTTTAATTCTAACTGGGCCTTAGCTTTCCTAACCTGGTCCCTAGCTTCCCATACAACACCCCTGTATTCTTCCCAGGTTGCCTGTCCTTGCTTCCACCTTTTATAACCCTCTTTTTTCCCTTGAAGTTTCCTCACCAGCTCCTTATCCATCCAAGGAGGTCTCTGCACTTCATTCTAGTTGGGATGCAACACTCCTGAGCTTGTAGCAGGTGATCCCTGAATATCAACCAACAGTCTTATTTGGCTCTTACTGAGCCAAAGTGTGCTCTGATAGAAATCGGTGGTATCGTTTGAATCTTTTACAATCCTAGTAACTTCTAAGTACCAGAGTAGTAATGGTACTCCTGACCAAAAGGAATTTGTGGGGGTGACCAGAACCTCTCCTTCCTTTTTCTTTATCTGTAGTGTATCCTGCATTGTATAAGCAGTGCTTTTCTTATAGTAAGTCAAGACTTAAATAATTTGGCTTTTTTCTATAACTTGCACCTCTTTTTCAGTTGGAAACATGGGAAATCGAAGTCAATGTTTTTTTTTCAATTTCCAAGTAAAATCTTAATACTTGTAAAGTAATTATTATTCATATAGTAAGTGCAAAATTTCAGCTGAGGTGCTGTGATGATGTAATTTCTTACCAAATTATTGTAGTGGTTGATGTTTCCTTAAATTGATGTCCTAAGTTAAAAGTATTGCAGAGCTTTCAGTGAGTTGTGTACAAAGCTAAGCAGAGCCAGGCAATGTATTAGCAATTGTTGTTAGCGAAAAAAACCACCCTACAAGTCATATCTTCCATAGCGTAGAGCAGCACCCCAGATATCTGTGCCCACAGAGTAATGCATGTAAAGAGGAAGAACTGATATTTGGCCTTGCTGCCTTGTCTCCTTGCCAGTTTGAATGAGTCCGCGGAACAAAGGCTCAAGCGTGGGTGCTGCCTTGTGCTGTATTCAGCACCATAAAAACGTGGTTATTAATTTGTAAAACAATTAAAGGACAAAGACCTTCTAAAGGAAGAATCTTGTACTGACCTACAGAGTGCCTAGTTTGTTCCAGAAGTCTGGATTGCAGACTGAATCGTGGCTCTTGTAAATTTTGGCAAGATGCTCTCTTAATTTAAATCAAAACTGCTGATTGAAAATGTCAGCGGTAACAAGGGAGACTAAAAGCGTTATTTGAAATTCTATTATTTGAATGTTTTCCATCCATTTTCTATTGAAGTAGGGTAATTTAAATAACCTTTCTAAAATATTCATTGTACTTACTTTAAAACTCTTAACTATATTAGAGCTGTTACCTCCTGAGGCAGGGGGTGATAAGCTGCAGTGCAGGGTGTGCCTGGCAACAAATCAGCTTTTCTTTGATCTTTGTCAATCTTAATGAGGCCATTTTACAGACTGTTTCTGTGCTTTAGAGTGACATGGTTAATTGCTACTTTTCAAACACAAACTAAATTCAGTAAATGGAGTGCTGTAATTTCTGTTTAAGGATCAGGAGAGAAAATATCCCCCTATACAAAGACAGTAAAATTGTTCCATTTGGAGCATTTTCTTATTTTAAGTATTTGAGTTTGGGATTTTGTTTGTTTCTGTTTTGTTTATTTTTAAATAAGCAGCCTCAGGTAATGCAATTGGTGCATAGAAATCATTAATGGGATTGGTGCATAGAAATCATTGAAACATTTTTACCTGTGTCACCCCATCCAGTGATATAACAGTTGGGAGCAGTTTTCTGTGGTCTCTCTCTTCTTAATGGCAAACAAGCAGGTAAGACATGGGAACTGAATCTGGCACACCGTTCCTCTGGCCCCTGTAGCCTCACCAATGCAATGTCATAGTCGCTGCTGTCGGGCCTGTACTCTTTATGCATCACAATCTGTTGGACTCCAGTTTCTTCCTCGTACTCTTCTGGTACCAGTGTGTGATAGTCTCCAACTCGCACAGCATAGTTCCGTGTGATGTTGCCATACCTAAGATTGAGATGAAAACAAATAGGGCTGGCTCATGCAAAGTTAGACCCAAAGCATGCAAACAGGTTTGATCAGTCTTTATTGCTCATATAAATAATGATACAAAAGGGGGTTTTAAAGAGTGGAAATGCTTTCTCAGGTATTTAGATTGACGTTCATAATATGTCAATATAAGGATATAAATAATACAAAAAACCCTTTTCCTAAAGTTTCAGGTTGGGCCGTATTCCTTTTTATGTATTTTCACGGATGAGGTTTCTTATGGCCATCTGCCATGACTGGCATTTATTTCAAAGGTACAAGCAAGGTGTTCATTATAAATGTATTCACCAAGGGTAACGTAAGCTGCCAGTAAATATAATGAAAGTGTGAGTACTAACATCATTGTGATGGTCTAAATAGTTACTGAAATGAAAACAGTGTTCTGGCTTGCTTTGCTTTACATTAACTGAAGTATGGAATTAGTTGTAGACTACATTTGTGGCATTTAAGGAACCCTAAGGAGTTCTAGACATCATTTTTTTAAGGAAAACAAAGCCTATGTGCATCACAAGCACCAATTGTCAAAGTGACAGAACACCTGTAAATCTTACGATTTGTTTTGCACCTAATATGACTCCAGTTTCTTTCACATCATAGACTAAATGGTAAATACCTTAGAGATTATTACTGTGACTGAAATAATTTTCTGTGCGTGGCTTTGGAGATTTCTGGAGCCCTTCTCAGGAAAATACAGACAAGACGGTGCTGCTGGGTACATTTATTTATTTATTTTAAATTCTGGCTAAGCTAACCCAAATATGTTTCCTTTGCCGCCTTCTTTTAGGCTTCAACAGGAAATGGGCAATGCATGTGCAGAAAATAGCCTACAGTTTTCTGTCACCCTCTAAGCTGTTTTTGTTCTTTTCATACTCTCCAGCGAAGTGCTGATCTCCATAGCTTACTAAAGTCTGCTTGATGAGCAGCAGAAAAAGCAAGAACACGACAGGTTTCTTCTGCACAATATACCACTGAATATTTCTTCAAATTGTGGGTTGCTTTCCCAGTTGCTTTCAGAGCTTTCTTTGCCATATTCTGCAAGACCTTCAGGTCTTCTCTGAACAAAATCTCACTTCTAGGCTAGTAAGGAGAAAGAGATCCAGGCTATGACCAAATACCTGTTCATTTTAAAATTACCTTCTATATAGGAAAACTAAAATAACTCGTATACTACAAAACTTTTTTCAGCTCTTCCATAGTAGAAGTCTCTGTGAAGTACTTTCTAGTTACTGCATTTTCCTTGTGCTTGGAAATAAAAATTCTGCACAGCTGGAAGTGAAGAGATGCAATGGATGCAGACTTTTTAAAGTTTAAAAAAGTATTCATACTGATTTTAGTCTCAGAGGGAGAACTGAGAAAAATCAAATTGTGTATTCTATTAAATACATCACTTCTTTGCTTCCTGAAAAAAACAGCTCAGAGCTTTTTTGGTTCGTGAATCAGAATGTTTGCCTCAAAGGTATTTAAGAAAAAACCCTCTATGTGTCACATTACTAATCTTTCTGTTTTGATCACAAAATTGCTAGTATTTCATAACTTACTACTGAATCAATTTTCATTTGGAATTTTCTATTAAGAAATTAGAGCCTGAATAGGAACAGAACATGAAACAAGGCAGAACCATGAATCTTGGCTTTCTAGGCATTCTGAATCCAGTCCCTGAAGTTTCTACAATGTAGGTATTTCCTTGTAAGGATTTTTTAAAAACAAGTATTTGAGTCTCACTTTCTCTTGCACTAGATGTCCTGTTCTCATTTCTAGGTCAGCATTTGTGGCTTTGCCAGTTTTAAAAGCTTGGTAAGACTTCACAATTTATTATTTTTCTGATAAACAGCAAAATTCCATGGAAGTAGTTGCTTTTATTTTTGTTGCCTTTAAGGAGATTCTTCAGAGTAAGAAAGGCTGTTAGATCTTAATTAGTTTTTTCAGTGATACATATCCATCTGTATTTGGCTATCTGAGGTGACATCAGGGAAATCTTAGCTAAGTCCTGCACCTGTGTAGATAGTCTGTCAAATCCTTGCCCAAGAATTTCTTCTCTGACACTAATGAATCCCCTCCTGGGTCTTTGCCACACTTCTTTACATGAGAAAAGGCTAATCTTACTGTACTTTGCCAAGACACTTAGTATACTATTATCAGTTTAACTTATATTATTGTTACTCTGAGCTGTGATGTGGGAGCCAGTAAAAGTATTCTGGCACTGACTAGAAAACAGCGCTGTGGTCTGATCTGAGACCTTTAGTGTGTTTCTTTTTTGGTTTGGTTTTTTTTTTTCTGCCACCTGTTTGGCTTTCCTTAGTAGAGAAAGGCATAAGGCCATAAGGCTACATGCATCTTTAGTACGTTAAAATACTGTACAGTATAGGCATTACTTAACACAGATTTATTTGAGTAGCATTTCTGTGAAGATGCCTTTTTATGAATACATTGTGCATCTTTACAATAAAACACTTGGTACATATCAATACCAGTTTGTACTGAATAGGTTTTATGACTTTACTTGCTATTGTTTCTGGGAATTTTTAGAAACTATAATTATGAATTTAATTTATCATGTTTACATATAGATAGACTTGAAAGCAAATTTTCCTGGCCACATGCAAAAGATTTCCAGTAATGCTTTAGCAAAACCATAGCATTTAGAGTTAGAAACGTATTTTTATATAAATATAAAAAGTACAGGGTGAAAGTATTTTTTATTCCTCTAGCTATGGAAAATTTCAGTAGAGAAATTAACCTGATTCCTTAGTTTAATCTTGTGTTCTACAGAACACTGCATCTGCAGTTCAATATTTATATGTATTAAATGGTCATTTCTCTCTTCACATGGAGGCTATATAACCTCATAGATGGTGCATTTATCAGAGATACGACATAAAGGTTTCTGAATTGGTTGCAAGCAGGAGAAAATGCCAAATGAGGGCAAGTGTATTGACCACTGTGGCCATCTTTTTTGTGGAAGTAACCTTAATGTTGATCGTTTGACAGAAAGCATGGTATAGACAGCAGTTTGAATACCCTGTGAAAACCAAAGTGGCATACTCTGGTAGCTCATTCTTTTTGTGTAAGCCAATCAATGCATTGGTCCTCTGTGAAATTTGCAAAACAGGGGAATAAAACAAACCCAACTACAGAATGTTTTACACACTGACAGCCTATACCCCTCTCCAAAGTGGGCAAGGTCAGTATGGAGGCAGGCAGCTGAATGGTCAGGATGTGCAGTATCAAGTAGACTTTCACTTTATACAAAATCTATTTATAGAACAGATGTAATGCTCAGAACAAAAAAAGTGTAGTACACATTGGGATGTGTTATACAGCCAACAAAGTACTTCTTCAGTGTTTTGCCCAGGCCAAGATGGTTTGTCATCTTGGCTGATGCATGAGCCACCTATGTAAGATCTATTTTCCCCAGAGTAAATTAGAAAAAGAACAGTCCCAAAAAAACTTTAGTTACTATTGCAGTAAACGGCTGTGTTATTTTTATTTGAATTACTCTTACATGCAAAATCCCCACTAAAGTAAACAGAAGAGTTGTTTTAGTTAGTGATGTCAGATACATTTTTCTGCTCAGATTTCATAACCGCACAATGTGCTCCACTTATGAATCAAAACGGTACAGCAGTCAAGTCCAGTATGTTGAGTAAAATTATTCTGTTTTCTTTGCCAGTTAAGCTACATTAAATATTTAATAATTTTTGCTGCAGTGATAGTTTGTAACTGTTAATCTCATTGCCTTTGAAAGCTATCATCAGTAGGATTCTGTGCCCTAGAATGTATTGCTAGATATGATCTTTGAAAGTGATATTTTAACAAGGTGTGATACACATCTGAGTGTCATATTGGAATACAAATGTACAAGGTCTTTAGCTATATATATATATTTGACTGGCATAATCTGCCAATCTGATCTAAAAGGTCACTGAAAATACTCTCTTGTAATTTACAGATACACTTTTGGCTGTGTGCAGCAAACCACATATAAGTGCTATGCTGATACCTTCTGGATTATGAAAGTTTTTTTACCTTCAGTACATATTTGCCCAAGTTAACCAGTCTGTACACTGACATACATGGTTTGTGTATAGAAACAAGCACAATAATAGTACTTCGCAGTGGTGGATTAGGAGTCTGGCTCTCAAGTCAAAAAAGGTAACTTTGCATGGTTTCCTGGGGTTTTTGGAGGAATTTTCGTTTGTTGTTGGTTTTTTTTAATGTGCCTCTGCATTTTAGTTTATAGGTCTTACTCACAACATCAGCATCAGGGATTTACCATATTGTGTATCCATTATCTTTAATGCAATTTGAAGGGGAGAAGGGACTAGGGGAGTGGCGGGGGGGAGGGTTAGGGTTTTGTTGTTGTTGTTATGGGGTTTTGTTTTCTGCTCTTAAACCTCATGGAAGTCAAGAGTACAACAGAGTCACAAAAGTGTTAAGTGTTTGTAACTTAGATGAGAAATGAACACGCTTCCTTCCTAAACTAATGTAATAATCGCAGGAAATAGATTTGTACTTGATATTTTGATTTGTAACCCTAAGCATGAAGGGGAAGTTGTTTCTGACTATTGATAATGAGGGCTCTCTTGTCAGCCATTTATCAGGCAGTCCAGTAGAAAACTTGCTGCTTCTATTTAATATTGCATCCTTAATTTTGACAAAAGGAATAGTGTTCCATTTAACAGGTACCTGCTGTTTTTCTGTGTTATGGATGATGGTCATTTAGAGTAGAATAATAAAGAAAGGAGATTGAGGAAAGCTTATCTTAACTAAAAGTACTGATTTAAAACATTTAATAGAATGAGAAGTGCTGCTTCTCATGCAAATGTATAAAACCTTAATAGCTACAAGGCTTCTTGTGAGAATCTTAATGAGTGGGCTTTGCACAGATTTGCCATATTTCTGTGCACATTCATACACATCAGGCTTTCTTAAACTGATTTTTTCATCTGCAGACAATTGTATTTCTTCCCCTGTAGTAGCTGGTGTAAGCCAAATGTAGAAGTACTCTATTAGAGCATCAGTACAAAGGCAAAGTGTCTCAGGGCTCTCCAGTCTTCCTTATTTAGAAGTCACCTTCAAAATGGCAGAGAACCATCACACACACATCACATTTGAAGAGCAGAAGCAGAGGAGGAGTCTGGCAGCGCTTCATGTATGGCAAATGGTATAGCTTCCAGGGTATTACCCTTTTGTTGGATGGCTGAGCATGCCTTGAAGCTCTAGTACAGCCTAGAAATGTTGACCTTAGCACCTTCTAGAAGGTTTATTGCCCAGCCAACTGGAAGGTGGATAAGTAATGCCACCATGCTAATATCATCCTGCTAATATCATTCCAGTCAAGAAATGTACTGATACTGAAGGCACATCTGAATTCATCTCACCATTCATGCTAAATTTGAGAAAACTGAACTTTAAATCTGGTATCTACTTTGGTTTCTGGTGTCTCACTAGTAATTTGGTTCCGCTGTGCCCCAGGGTCCCTAATTCTCAAATTAAATTGCCAGGACCATGTTGAAGTATACCTGAACATTCAGGGATGTATAAAGAAGCACCTAAAAAAGAGTTACATTATTAGAACAGTACAATATTCATGTAATATCGTATTGCCTCAATTGACATCATGGTCATTATAATTTACCTTTTTTTTTCCTATGGTTAATATTTCAAATTATCCAAAGTTAATATTCTTTTGGTGTATAGACCTGCGAATTCCCTATAGCTGTCAGAGCCACTCAGGACAAAACGTAGTAATTAGATGGGGGGATTATACAAGGAAAAATAGCTTCAAGTAATTTTTGATCTTAAATTATGTCTTTGAAATTACAGTAATGTTTCTACAGTACTGGCAAACAATTCTAATTATCATGCATAAAACTGTATTTAATTTTTATCCATAGTGCAGATAAGCTCACTTTTGTTATTTAAGCAGTGTTCCAGTTTCCAGGATATGAGAAATGGTATACTGTCCTTTCTTTTGTCTGTCTCTGAAAAATATGTGATGAAAGTGCCTGATCTGTAGACAGCCCTTGGAAACCTAGCCCCTTTAAAATCACCCTGACATCATTAGGAAGTTCAGCCCAGTCTGTCCAATGTCAGCTTTGAGCAAGATAATTTCTCTCTTTCACGCTAAACATTGAAACCACCATCCACAGGCTCTTGGAGTTGCATGCTTAGATCTAGGTTGCACAGTTTTAAATGCAGTATCAGGGGCAAAACAATACGTTGGTCCCTGAGAGCACATATAACAGTTTGAGGGTAGCCTGTAACAGACCCACAAGTGACTGCACTGCTCTGGAAGTACTATGGTATACAATGCTCCAGCCATGCTGCTGCCCATCATGTGGGTGTTCAGCAAAGTATCCAAAAGGGGCATGCTTTGGCAGCACATTCAGAAGTGACTTGAGGCTCCAGCTACATAAGCAAGCCATTGGGAAGAACAAATAATGTATTTTGTGGGGAGTGCTTCCTGTAGGAAAGCACTGCAGCTGCAGCAGCACAGCACAGTAGATACTAAGTTGTTTCAACAAACTTTGTGAAATCACTACTGAAGAGTTCCGTAAGTAAGATCTTGACTTGCACATGGAAAACATAACTGGCTTCCTGTGACATCCCTTTTCCTTTCCTTGAGAAGGATCTTTGAGTTAAAACCAGAATACAAAAATACGGTCTTGTTTTCAGGCCATATTCAAAGGTTTTCTCAAGAGCTTAAGTTGCATCCTTCAATGCAATCATCCACTATGGAGATGATGAACAGGGCAATACGAGGACACTGTCTATAAATTTCATTGGTTAACAACTGAAGTTCTTTCCTAGTTTTACAGAAACAACTGGGAAATCATTTGAAGTAGGCAGAAATTTTACCAACTTTGACCATTTCCCCTTGAAATATTACCAAGAAAAGCCCTTAGTGATTTTCATGAAACACGAAATGAAAAGATGTACATCTGGCTGTGAGCAAATATAACACTATCCATTCAAGCAAAAGTGCATCTGACTTTCTTTTCAGTTATTAGTGTGGAAAAGGAAAGTCTCAAAGTTAAAACATTTGCAGGCCACTTGAGCAAATCCTAGCCAATATCCTCAAAACTGCAGTGCCATTCTATGCTTTTATTCGAGCCTGTACTGCAGCCTTTTGTAAGGATTCAAATGAAATAATTGCTGTTGAAAGCTTAAAATACTAGATGACATCCAAAAGGATTCCAGTGTATTAGGGATTTTGTTTGTTTATATTTGGAGGGAAAAGAGGTTGCTTGGTAGTTCTTGTTTACACCAAGTGCCAGCTCTATGGAACAGTTTTCGGTGGGCTTGAACTGGAATGTTTTTGCCTATACTCAGAACAATGAGTGTGAAAATACACTTCAATATTGAAGAGAGAGCTACCTTTTAAAGCAATGTGCAGCAGTGAGGACCCAGCAGCTGCTGATAAGAGTAGCACCACACAAGAGTCTTCCATCACCATGAGAAGTTTTCAGTCGGAGTGCAACCTGCCATGGCCATCCACCCCTACAGAGGACATAAGACATTCCATTCAGGGTACAGCAATGGAAAAAAAGTAAGGTAGCTTGTCAGTCACTTTGAGTGTAAATCCCATTTAGTTTCTTTGACTGCCACAGCTTGCAGACTGTGTTACTTACGGAGTAACAGTTGAGAATACTTTTACATTCCTGCAGTATTTAGAATTCCAGTTAACAATGGGCATGATTACTTTACAGATTCTTTGGGCATCCATCACTCTGAGTGCTTCATCCCCCTGTCAAATACTTTATTTGTCCCTTCTCAGATTGCATTCATCATGCCAAAAATACATTCTATGGGTTCCTCACCAAATACCATCCAAGTCAATAAACAAGAAATTTCCTGTCAGTTTTTGAGGAAAGAAGGGAATTTCTTGAAAAGCTTAATCTAGCATCCTTCCCTGTTTGCGTTAGTATCTTTGTTGCTTCTGAGCTGTTTGAAAAGGGAAGATGGCAAACAAAAAGGTCTAAAGCAACTGTAGAAACCACAAGTAGTAGAGTAGCACATCTTTTCAGCCTGTAATCATCTGGTTTGTATAGTAGATCTGGGATACATATTTGCAGGCCTATGAAGACAGGATATATTATTTTTCACCATTTTATTAATTAGTAAAATACAGAATCAGAGAGAAGGGAGAGGGAGAAAGATGCACCTGTAAGCAACAGCAACATCCAAAAATAAGGTAGGCTTAGGTGTTTCTTGACTACTGTCAACCTGAATAGTTATGCTGGAGCAAGAACTGCTCCTACCCAGCATCCTGTCCAAGGTTGCCAGTGCCATATGTTTTAAAGGAAGTGAAGGAACTTACTTTCCATAAAGCATATCACAATTTAGACACCTTTAGTTTTGGAAGGTGGGGTTTAATACGTCTTTCCAAAATGGGGCAAATCAGGCAGTTTTGGATTTCCTGGTAAGTATTCTGTTCTTTGTCTTAAAGACTTCTTGCGAAGCTTGTCCCTTTGTATGTCCCTTTTTCTAATCATGAAGCCTTTCTAAGTGCACTGTTAGAGTTCTCTCACCTTTTTGCTTCATCTGATGTCCCTGTGCTTATTTACTATGAGATCAAGTTTCTGCTCCAACTTAATTGTGCAATCCACTATTTTGTCACCATTTCATTTCATCCAGGATTCTTTGTACACATATTCTGAGACAGTAATTCTCAATCTTCTTTTTCAGTGCAATGTGTTGTTTATTTTTCTCGTTTGTCTCTTTACTAAGCTAAGTAATCCTACTTTACTCTGTTTGCATTAAATGTTTTTCTGGGCTCCCTCTTGTTCCTGTTCACTTAGAGACAAGTTCACTCTGGCAGTGTCTTCTTTTTAAATGAATTGATTGATGCTGTGAATGTATTTTGAAATAGGTCGCACAATGGCATGTAATGAAAACTGTATTTTTTACAAATCCTTTTGTAAGTTTCTGTGAATATGTATTTTTCTGTGGTTACTCACAGCTGTTAAGATATAAAACTTGTACTTCCTATCATAGCATTTAGTAGTAGTAGCTGCAGTATTCAGTTAATACGTTTGTATCAACTAAATGTAAATATATTATTAAAAGCTAAGAACAAATGTTAACAAAAAGCTTGGATCATAGCCACGTCATCATTGAGGCTTATTTTGTGAAGGAAACTAGGTCTTGGCCAGTGAATTATACCCAAGTGTCGTGGTAAAATCAGCTCTTCCACTCCATCTGGGAAGCTGCTCACTGAAGACTGGAGCAGCAACTTTCCTGGGAGGATCATCCTTAAGCATTGTATTCCTCTTCAATTCACGCACCCGTTCCTCCAGAACTGAGGTAGGTTTTTATTCCCACTTTCTAATGTCTTCTTTATGATCCCGCAGATAAAATTATAGGGTGTCCCGTGGTGTGTATCTCCTGTATTTTCTCTCTCAGGCAGTAGAGTGCCTTCTGTTAATAGCTGAGAGATGGGTTGGTACACATTGGGAACTGGATAGACTGTCTCTCAGTTGTTTGAACTCCTGGGTCAGGAGTTTTTCTGCAGCTGAAATGATGGAAGGCGTGAGATTGTCTCTGAATTCTCGGAGTTGCCGACTCACTTCATCCACTGTTGGTGATGCTGCCTCACTCCATGTCATTGATGCCAGTGAGTGGGCATATGATGATGGCGCACTCCCTGTAAGTTTCCACCACATGGGTCGCATAACATTCAACTTCATCTGGATCTACGGGTGTGTTCCCAGCATCCAGCCTACAACAGATCATCTCTAGAATGGCTAATTCCCTCAGGGGCTGGATGCCTCTCTCTATCATGGTCCACTTGTCTGAGAGACACATAACATCTTCCTTGCAGGGATACCTTTCTTTCACAGCTGCTAAGAGCCACCTCCAAAGGCTAAGGGCTCTTTTCGCTTTTGCAATTGCTTTGTCAATTCCCCCTTCCCTAGCAAGGGATCCCAGCTGCTTGGCTTCCCTGCATTCTAGTTCGTGAGTGTTGGCCCCATTATCCCATCATCCCATGATGATGTGCTCGGCTGGAAGATGGCTGAACTTTTTTGTGTATTCCACAGCTTGGTCGAGGTCTGGGATCGAGAAGTTACCTCTTCTTCCTCTATTTCCTCTAGTAATAACTCTTGTTCAGATGCCATCCCCTCTAGTAGACACACTGGATCTTCATCTTTCTTCACAGCACGGGTTGCTGTTTGTGGCTCTCATTTGCTCTTCCCCTTGCTTATAGGGGCAACTGATATTGGCATGGATTGATCCTTTGGTTCAGCTGCAGTGTCTATCACTGAGACTGGAATGGCTGCAGTGTCTGCCACTGAGGTTGGTGTAGCTGCTGTGCTTGGGGGTTGAGTAGCTGTGTTTTCTCTTGCTTTGTCATCAGATCCAGAGACATTTTTTTCCAGAGGCGCTCTGTAGGTGCAGGCCAAGCCCCAGCACATCGTGGTAATTTGTCCCTCTCTGGTATTGCCAGGACAACAGCACACCTTGTCTAACTGTTCTGCTAATTTTTCTGGATTTCACACTGTTCAGGGGTGAAATTCCAAAGCACTGGAAGGGCCCACTGGCCCAGGTGCTTGCCCATAAGATCCCCACACTCCCATAAGACCCTGCCACTCATGACTGTCAAGTCTTGGGAAAAATCTCTTGGTGGTCCTCTTAGATCATCATTTAACCTGAGACAATACCCAAGCCTAACCCTGCTTAACTTTCAAGATCAGATGAAACAAAGCATTCTCAAGGTGGTATGGCCATGGGTAAAACACATGCTGTATTTGTGGCAACATGCTAATTCCCAGCAAAAGCAGCAGGCAGGTTTCAAAGGTATCCAAAGGATATCCAAGACCTTCAAATGCTCAAATGCTGCTACATCAGTACATGAGCTATTAAGAAGGAGAAAATTAACTGTAAAGCCGTACACAGGACACCAAGCCTTTTCTTGTAATACATAGAACCACAGAATCATAGAATAGTTAGGGTTGGAAAGGACCTTAAGATTATCAAGTTCCAACCCCCCTGCCACGGGCAGGGACACCTCACACTAAACCATCTCACCCAAGGCTCTGTCCAACCTGGCCTTGAACACCACCAGTGATGGAGCATTGACAGCTTCCCTGAGCAACCTATTACAGTGCCTCACCACCCTCACAGTAAAGAATTTCTTCCTTATATCCAATCTAAACTTCCCCTGTTTAAGTTTTAACCCATTACCCCTTGTCCTATCACTACAGTCCCTAATGAAGAGTCCATCCCCAGCATCCCTATAGGCCCCCTTCATATACTGGAAGGCTGCTATGAGGTCTCCATGCAGCCTTTTCTTCTCCAAGCTGAACACCCCCAACTTTCTCAGCCTATCACAGTATCACAGTATGTTAGAGGTTGGAAGGGACCTCAAAAGATCATCTAGTCCAATCCCCCTGCCGGAGCAGGAACACCTAGATAAGGTTACACAGGAACGTGTCCAGGCGGGTTTTGAATGTCTCCACAACCTCCCTGGGCAGCCTGTTCCAGTGTTCTGTCACCCTCACTGAGAAGAAGTTTCTTCTCAAGTTTAAGTGGAACCTCTTGTGTTCCAGTTTGTACCCATTGCCCCTTGTCCTATCATTGTTTGCCACTGAGAAGAGCCTGGCTCCATCCTCGTGACACTCCCCCTTTATATATTTATATACACTAATAAGGTCACCCCTCAATCTCCTCCAAACTATAGAGACCCAGCTCCCTCAGTCTTTCCTCATAAGGGAGATGCTCCACTCCCTTAATCATCTTAGTTGCCCTGCGCTGGACTCTCTCCAGCAGGTCCCTGTCCTTCTTGAACTGAGGGGCCCAGAACTGGACACAATATTCCAGATGAGGTCTCACCAGGGCAGAGTAGAGGGGAAGGAGGACCTCTCTCGACCTACTAACCACCCCCCTTCTAATACACCCCAGGATGCCATTGGCCTTCTTGGCCACAAGGGCACAGTGTCGGCTCATGGTCACCCTGTCGTCCACTAGGACCCCCAGGTCCCCCTCCCCTACACTGCTCTCTAACAGGTCGTTCCCCAACCTATACTGGAACCTGGGGTTGTTCCTGCCCAGATGCAGGACTCTACACTTTCCCTTGTTATATTTCATCAAGTTATTCCCTGCCCAACTCTCCAGCCTGTCCAGGTCTCTCTGGATGGCAGCACAGCCTTCTGGCGTGTCAGCCACCCCTCCCAGCTTAGTGTCATCAGCAAACTTGCTGATAGTACACTCAATTCCCTCATCTAAATCATTGATGAATATATTAAATAATACTGGTCCCAGTACCGACCCTTGAGGCACTCCACTAGATACAGGCCTCCAACTAGACTCCGCCCCATAGACTACAACTCTCTGGCTTCTCTCCTTCAGCCAGTTCACAGTCCACCTCACTACCCGATCATCCAGACCACACTTCCTCAATTTAGCTGCAAGGATGCTGTGGGAGACTGTGTCAAACGCTTTGCTAAAGTCAAGGTAGACCACATCCACCGCTCTGCCATCATCCATCCACCGTGTTATTTCCTCATAAAAGGCTACGAGATTGGTCAAGCATGACTTCCCCTTGGTGAAGCCATGTTGACTGCCCCTCATAACCCTCTTATCCTTGATATGCCTTAAGATGGCACCAAGGATAAGGTGTTCCATCACTTTCCCAGGGATGGAGGTGAGGCTGACGGGTCTATAGTTACCCGAGTCCTCCTTCTTGCCCTTTTTGAAGACGGGAGTGACATTTGCTTTCCTCCAGTCCTCAGGCACCTCTCCCGTTTCCCAAGACTTGGTAAAGATGATGGAGAGCGGTCTAGCAATGACCTCCGCCAGTTCCCTCAGCACCCGCGGGTGCATCTCATCTGGACCCATGGATTTATGGATGTCCAGATTGCTCAACTGGTCTCTAACCCATTCCTCATCAACTAAGGCAGGCCGCTCCATTGACCTATCTTCATCTGAGGTCTCAGCGGTACAGGGCTCTTCAGGACTGCCTCCAGCAGAGTAGACAGAGACAAAGAAGGCATTCAGTAACTCTGCCATCTCTGTATCTTCTGTCACCAGGGCACCCGTCCCGTTCATCAGCGGACCTACATTGCCTCTGGTGTTAGTTTTATCTGCCATGTATTTGCAAAAGCTCTTTCTGCTGTCCTTGACCCTTCTCGCCAGCTTTAATTCCAATGAGGCCTTAGTCATCCTAGCTGCTTTCCTACATCCTCTAGCAGCAGCCTTATATTCCTCCCAAGTGGCCAGCCCTTCCTTCCATGACCTGTAAACTCTCCTCTTCCACTTTAGCATACCCAGCAATTCCCTATTTAGCCACGCAGGCCTCCTGACCCTCTTCCTTGCCTTCCTACGTGTCGGGATGCTCTGATCTTGATTCATCTCTATCTTCATACAGGAAGTGCTCCAGCCCCTGATGATCCTCGTGGCCCTCCTCTGGACTTGTTCCAACAGTTCCATGTCCTTTTTATGTTGAGGACACCAGAACTGTACACAGTATGCCAAGTGAGGTCTTACAAGAGCAGAGTAGAGGGGCAGGATCACCTCCTTTGACCTGCTGGTCACGCTCCTTTTGATGCAGCCCAAGATACAATTGGCTTTATGGGCTGCAAGCGCACACTGCTCCCTCCTGTTCAGTTTCTCATCAACCAATACCCCCAGGTCCTTTTCTGACATTTCTGCCACATTCAAAGCTCTCTTCATTCACAACCTGATATCAAGATATCCTTTAAAAAAAAAGTAAACTGGCTTTTTTGAAAGTAATAAATTCAACCCAATCAAGGACTAAACCCATAAACACTTAAAGGTCTTAACCAAATGCTGCAAGTATTTATCAGTGAATATTTTTTAATTTTCTACCAAATTTGCTCTGAAGAGAAAACCCACAAGCCTACAATAAAACATAAATTAGGCAAGCTGCTTATTGCAAATACATGTTTTAGAAGCTTTATATTCAAAATTATTTGGTTTTACAAATTATTTACCGTAAAGAATTTTTCCCACCAATTATTCGCTTTTGTCGACGATGTAGTAACCTCAATCCACACACAGAAGCAAGAGAATCTAAACCAGAAAGTGAGACATAGCATTAAACTCAAAAGGAAAAGTAGTCAGTCTTTAATGAGAATTAACTAAAAAGCAACCACAAAGGCTGAAGTTATTCTGTGCTTCACAGGAGTTTTTAAGAAACAAATTTTACTTGGGGAATATACACTGAATTCTGTGATAATTTCTCTTAGAAATTCTTTGTAGCTGACTTTTTTGGGGTTTTTTATTACTGTAATCACAGAGCAGTTTACACATTTGTGCTCGGCTTCTCAAGTGTAGGATTTTTTATAGAGTACTTCACATCATACCACGTATGTCTCGGTCCTCAGCTGTTTAAAGTAACACACAGTTTAAAGTAACTGCCTAGGTTTTTGCATTTTCATGTCCCATATACAACTTAAGAAATATGGCTGCTGTAAACTGTCGCAGAGAAGTACCCCATATCATTTGCATGGTCTTTATGATACCTTTATTCACCTGGCACAGGGGTAAGATCATAGAGTGTAAGCAGAGAGAATTTCCCAGCATTTCTGTGCCTGTATTTCTTTTCATATAATTGTTTGCTCTGTGATGTGGGATTGTTTACATCTGTCCCTTCCTACCGTGACAGTTCTCCATCCTAACCTGTTGGTCTTCCACTCACAATGGGGCTTCACCTTTATTGCTGTTCCCTAGGGCCTTCTTGCTTAGGTGGTCACAGATCACTCCTGCATCCTCACTGTGGCGGCAGTTGTGAGTCCCAATGTTTTCTTTAATGCAGTCTGCCAAGGATCTCTCATTTCCTGTACATTTCACATTATCCACGTGAATTGGGCCTTTGCCTTCCCCAAAGTAAGCCATTGTCCTTGCTCTAGCCGGACCTCTGGAAATATAATATATATTTTTTATTAAACATTTTGAGGTGTTATACTACATTTTACTCAACCAAAACATTTCAGTGAGTAGTGAAAGACATGGAGATTTCATTCCAAGTCCTGTCACTGATTCACTTGATGACAACTTTTGTTCTCATTGTCTCCATTACACTGGTACGTAGAAGAAAAGTAAGTGCAACAAAATTGCTGCAGTTCATTAATGTTTATAAAGTGCTTTACGTATCCAGTTAGAAGGCACGATGCGAAGTATTTTCATTGCGACAGCATTACAAATATTTATAAACCAAAATATGTGAAAGCTGCTTTTTCATGATCTTTGTAATCTGGATATAAAATCAGCATCTGTGAATGCTAAAAATAATTTCTTCTTTTCTGATTCCATCAGGAACTTCAAGGCCCAGAAGCAATTCCAGCTCATAAGTGCACGTAACTGCAAAGTCAGGTTTGTGGAATGCAACTCTCTAGACATAGGGTCACCGAGACACAGTGTTTCCGACAAGCCCTCCCAGTTTCTGGAACCTGATTTTAGATTTCTAAAATGTTGTCTTTCCCTAGTTATTCGGGGAACACGTGCTCTGTTGTAACCTATAATCTTAATCCCCCATTCTGAGAATCACTGAGAATTCCAACACTGTCCTTGCAGTGATTTAAGAACATAAAGTGGTTTGCATTTAATCACCTGAGGGAGATATGTAAAAAGCCAAAGAGGCTGAGGATGAAGTAGACTAAACGAATGATTCAGTGGAACATGTAAGGTCAAATTTTGTAATTTGGAAGCCATAGTCTACTATGACTTATAAATATGCTTTACTAAACAAATACCAGGCAATTTTAAAAAGATGCGTTCATTCATAATTATGCGTTCATTCATAATTTGAGGATATTTGCTTGCACAAACTTTACTTTGTGAGATACAGCAAACAGATAACATGATTTGTATTTCTTAAGCTTAGATTTCTTGACAAACTCAAGACATTTCACTGCTTTCCTGTTGTATCCACTAGCACTCTGGATATTTTTCATCTCATATTAGTTTTGCTATTTATAAATTTGCCCTATTGTTGTTGTATCTTTACTGGTCTTAGGTACCCAGCATATTTACCTTCTGAAAGAATACGTAATAACTATCATTAACTTGCACTTCAGTTGCCAGACTGTGATGTGCCTTTGGATATTAAAATTATTTTCCCAATTATGCTAGTTAATGAATACTTCTTTTGCAGACATATCCTTACAACTTCTTATCTGACTAGTATAAATACACTTTTCTAAATGCCATTTTGAAAGGTGTATGTTGGTGATACTTGGTTGCAGAAATTAACATTTTTAGATACAGCAAATGGGTAACTTGAGAAACAGTTTAATGGGTTCTCTTACTTGTAGCCAAGCTGTCGACAGACCACAGCTGCATCCTTATCAGACCATCCATCATCACAAATTGTGCCCCACTGTCCATTGATAAAAATCTCTACACGTCCTTCCTTCTTATTCTCACCATCCATCAACCTGATGGGGGGACCTGGAAAAATTATTGCTGTCAACTTAGAACAACAAAAGCAAGAACTAGTATTTTCAGTCATTTTCATCACATTCAGTTTACAGGGTCAAACAATGTTTATGTTTGACAAGCCTAATAACAGCTGTTACAGTAGTCATATATTTTCTGGCCGGCAAAAGATATTAGTTTGTATGAATTGCAAGACAAATACAAAATAGTGCTCTATTTTGAACTTAATAGTTCATCTGGTTCCTCCATTTTGTGCAAATAGGTGACATGGATCAGAATTTGACCACCATGGGCACAGAGCAATTCTACCGCTAAAGGCAGCAAACACCTATTGTATCTTTAATATGATGCCTATACAAGCTGGACAGGCTTTCCTTGCAGGAACTTTATGTGGGTGAATTTAACTGTATCTCAATCCATAAATACATTCTCAAACTGGTTGCTATCACTTATCTTAACCTCTATCTCAGTGAAAAAGGGCAGCAGCATTGCACTGAAGTGATTACTTACAGTCACGCGTGCTGTTCTATAGCATCTTTTGTGTGACAGCATCATGTTCTACAGCATGTTATTCTAGCTTAGTAGGTGATTATTTTCTAATCAATTTAAATTGTTTGTTTATTCAGATATGTTCATGATACAAAATCCCACTAATGTGGATTAGTCAGACATTCACTCGGTGCTTGGCTTGTAGTTAAATTTTGAATCATTGGGCAAAGTACTAACTGGATTCTTTCTTACTTTAAAACTCCTTTGTAGCAGGCGAGCAATGCAAGTAGCCTTAAAACAGTTACAAATTCCTTTGACGCCTCTTTATAATGTTTAAGTGAGAATCACCTTCTAAATCTTCTAATACGTCATACTTTACAATCCTTAATATACTAATGAGAGTTTCTTTTCAGAATAGTTGGAAAGACTGTTCTTCATTCTTCTAACCTGTTTCTAATCTTTTCTAAATCAGTTAGGATAAGAAATTACTTAACTATGCTCTTAAATAAAGCAGTATTTTGAGACATTTGTGTTTGCTATTCAATTCAGATTCATTTAGGGTATGAGTAACTTTTGTATACCAAACCTTATTCTGGATCACAGCTAGTTAAATCTAACCTAATTAATTAATTAAAAAAGGAAAGATTTGAAAAAAAAATTAAAGTCTCTTTGCTTCAAATGTTATTTAAAGCATGTTGTTTATACTGGAGCTCATACTGTTCAAGACATCTACATGAATTAACTTCAACAACTTTCTGTTTAGCTACATTGTTATGATCTTACATAGTAAACAAGTGTTGTAGTTATTGTAGTGTATTCTATTTCACTTTTCCTTAACATTTCTTAATGTCCATATCTCCTCAGGTCATCCCTAGAGGGCTTTTTCAAATGCTGGAAAGTAAATGGTAGCAACAGTCTTTGTCCACTTTCCAATCAGAAGTCTCATAGGAAATGTCAGATTCACTGTCTTCATTTTGTTGTTGAAATTATGTGTTACTCTGGAACAAGATGATTACCCAGCTAGAAGCATATAACTTATGATCATGAAATTCTTAAAACTTTCTTGTAATGATGAATGTGTGTGAGAATGTTAACATATGGATGCATTTAACTGAACCAGACCTCCTTCAGATAAGATTATCTTTTTTAGGAGTTTTAACAAAGCAGCACAGATGGTTCACGTTTGTAAAGACAACAGCCATTCGAATTCCTGTTACATTTGGTCTGAGATAATTCTGTCTACCAAAGATGATTTGACATCATCTACACATAATGGAACTGTACTGCAACATAAAGCATTCATTGGATTGTGAGGGGTCAAAAGGTTATAAAGAAAAAGACTATAAAGAGAGGAAGACCAGAAAAGTACATGTGGAAGTGCTGATTGTTGTTACAACAGTTGGCAGTGTCTTGCAGTGAATCCATGCCTTAGTTTGCAGGATAGACCTCCAGTCTGTAATTTCCAGAGAACTTCAGGAACCTGGGTGTACAAATCCATTGCATTTCAGTAGAAGCTGTGGCTCTAACTCCACTAGTTATCATTCTAAATTCAGACTCAACTAAAATATACTCGAGTAAATTGAAGACTGTCATCAATGATTTTGTAAAAGGCTACCTGCTGACAAGTTACAAACTTCGTAGGCAGTAAATTTTAAAAATGAAACTTCTTAAAATCACTGAGCAACCCCTGTTCTCTTGTAATTTGTACTGTGCATATCTGATATCCAGAATCCTTATTTAATTATTACATGTGGACTTGGGAATCTTTGGCGTTCACTTGCGTATATTTTATTCTACAGTGCCAGTATATAATTAGCCCACTTACCCAAGCACAATATAAATGATAGGCAATACTCATACAGAAATAATTTCATGCTTCTCACCCTTCCTTTTTGCTTTCTTTGAACTTACCCTCTTTTTCCATACCTCTTTTATCAGATTACTTGAATGTAAGGCAGATATACTACTGATTATATTCCTCAGTGCTAGTGTATGTCTTCAACTTTTGATAGCATGAGAGAGTTACTTAGAACTTAGAGAGTGTTGAGTGAAATGAGGTATACCATTAGGAACTGCTGAATAGGTCTAAAATCTAATGAGTACTGAAATCTCTGGAATCTGACTTTGTTAGCTTACAAATTTGTGTTCATCTTTAATGCTCTGGCTGTCTATGTTCCTTTAAACAAAGCTTGATTCGGGAGAAAAGTGAGCTTTTTTTACTTTCCCTTCTTTACACACATCTGCCAAATATTAGCTTTGAGCGTCTTTAAGTATACTATGCTTTTCTCAAATCTGCACCCACCACGATACTTATGCTGTGACTTTAACAAAGAGGTGCCTTACCAAGTGTGAGCTTATGGTTGTCATTATCTGGATGGCAAATAAGTCTGACGTCCTCGTGATGGTTGCAGTCATGTTTTCCCCACTCTCTCCATGAGCATTGCAAGAGGTTTGTCTCCTTCCCTGAGCAGCTGACATCATCTAACCAGATGGGCCCAGAGCTTCCTTCTGAGTAGCTCTCTGGGGCACGTTTTCCATACCTGCATAACATATAGGTAACGTTTTGGTCCACAGTGATCGGATGAGAAGTCATACTTAAGCACTAGAAAGAAAATTATTTATTTCTGAAGAAATAAAGGTTTCTCTAGTACCAGTAAATACTTTTAACTATGACAGAATAGGTTCAGTCAGCATTACATTCAATGGGAGCACCATGTTGCTTCCTTGGTGATGTTTTTTTTTAAGAAATTACCATTACATTAATACAAACTTGTGAGTGTAATACCTTTGATTAAGACCTCCCTTCAACCAAGCATACGGCTGAATCACTGACTTTTCAGACTTAAAGCATGTTCTTAGTATTATATATACACTTAAATGCCAGAGTCTGAGCAAAATGAGACAAAATTCTTCTTTGAATGTGAGCTCTTATAATCTGAAGGCAAGACACCAATCATCTCGCAAGAGTGTATCTTTAGCCACAGCCAGTAGAAAAGTAGTGAAGAGTGAATGCGTGAAACTCTAATGAGATTTTCTCTGAAATATGCTTCTCAATACATATCAGTGTTACACCGCCAGACTGCGGGTTTTCTGTGCTAGTTCCAGAAGGAATTACACCTTGAAAGTGTCTGTGATTTGCAATTACTGTTCAACAAGGAAAGATTTTGGAGAATCAAATTTTTACAGGCGAAATAGAACAAATCAGTTTTTCTCTATAACATATGCATAACATATGCATACCTCTATAACATATGCATATCTCTATAACATATACATATACATATAACATCTCAGCCAAAAGGATGACTGGAAGGAGATCAGTGAATAGAGGCTGCTGAATCACAAGCTCAGTTGAAGCTTTTTCTTCTACCTAAACTAAGGCCATAATACCTCTTTGATGAAAGTAGGCTTTAAGGGATTTTAACTCAGTAGTTTCTATGAAGCACTCAGCTAATGTTAAAGAAACAGACTCTTGTATAGTGCAGGGTTCATTTAAATGTTTGTCATCATTACCAAGTCAAAGAGTCATACATCTAATATCAAGTAATCTTACTTAAATCCAAGCTGCCGGCAAACCACTTGTGTATTCAGCTCTGTCCACCCATCATCGCAGATTGTGCCCCACTGCCCAGTATAATAGACCTCCAGGCGTCCCTCATGACTGCCTTTCCCACTTGCTAGTCTTAATGCACCATCTGTGTCATTAACAATTAAGGAAAAACAGAAACAAGAATCAGTTTTTCTTGGGTCCAGTTATTGTTCTAAGCCAAAATTAGTAACATTGCGTTTACTGCATGTGATCAAAATATTAGACTACTACACCTAGTGCTGATCACTAGGTGTCATTTAATGACAAGCTGAGACATGACATAAAGCCAGACAGCTGTGAAGTATTGCATAATGCAGTTGCTCAAGTGCAAGAGAACTAGCACAAGATACCGGTCTCCTAAACCCTTATTACATGCCAAGTCCACAGGAGTGTGCTCTGATTATGTGAATTTGCTTTGTAAACACCTTATATTTTTCTTTATATATTCTGTTATTTCCCATTGCTTTTATGCTGAAATACTAACTGCCACTAGTAGATGTCATACACGTTTAAGGCATCCCTCACATAGTAAGTAACGATTAGTGTATTACTGAGGAACCAAGGCTTTGTGCTGAATAATGAGGGGTTTTGTATTGTAAAATAGCCATACCCAAATTTTCCATAGTTGATTCGTTTTGATACTGCCAGCACACTTTATTACTGTGGGATTCTATGCATCAGCAAACTTTCAAAATTCTCTTTCCAGAGCTGTGAACTCTGCATTTGTCTCTGTTTTCCTAGGTGATTATTGGTAATTAAAGTACCTGTGAGAGGTGTGCAGGAAACACCAGCATCTTCTTTGTGGTCACAGTTGTGTTCTCGCCAGGAGCTTTTTGGACACTGCTCTATGGATAGTTCATTTCCTGTGCACTGCATTTCATCCAGTAGCACGGGGCCTGAGCCTTCTCCAAAGTAAGCGTGGCTCCATGCCTTGGCAACACCCCTGTCAAAATGTAACGAACCCTCAAGCTCAAGAAAGCTGAAGAGATGGGACTCAGCAGGAAGAGCTAAAATGTTACAAATCCAACTTCTAAAATATCAAGGAAACTGCCTGAATACCTGGATCAATGCAGCCCGCATTGCCCGATGCAGTGCTTGTGGTTCTGCAGTCAACTTCGGTCTCAGCTGGAGCTAACAGAGTGACTTAAAGATACTGTTTCCACACTTCCATGATTTCAACATGTTTAGAATATCAATTTCTGTTGTTTTGTATCTATGACATTTTCCTTTCTGTCCTTTAAGCATAACTTTCAAAAGAGATTACTGATGTACATCTTGGGTATGAGGATTCTAATTTTAATTTTCATTTAATGTTTATATGTAGTAAAATAATCCAATATATATATTTTACAGTGACTTTCATCTCTTGCCCTTAAAGCACATTAATCAAATCTCAGATACCCAGACGAGGCAGATAGAAGTGATTGTTCCCCATTTAGTCATGGAAAAATCACAGCAGGGAGATCTCAAGTAACTTGACTGTCATAACTTGACAGTCAGGGATAGCAACAAGAACAGAAAGCAGACCAGTGGCCAGCCTTGTGTGTATTACACTTTTTATGTCAGCATAGAGGATTTTGCACACAAAAATCTGTGTAAATTGAAAATGCTCTATTGTTTCAGCATCACAGAAATTACACAGTGTTTAAGACTTGATGATCTATCAGGATATTTCTAGTGCTGTTTAAGATACCACGTCTTTCATATGTAAATGTTTTTTCACATGGTTTGTTTTCTTTCTATTCAATAGTTTCTCTGTTCACATATCCAGTCAAGTTTTTATAGAAGTATTCTCAGTATCTGTTGTCTTTTCGAATTTTAAGATTAAAATATCTATGTATTTTTTTTTATTTTTTTTTTTTTTACTATAATGAATTACCTATCTAAAGGGTTAGTTTAAATTAATTAACGTACAGTTTGGATACACGGCTCTGTACTACTTATTTGTTTACTTTAAAGAGTTTTCCACTACCAGCTGTATCTTACCACATAATACCTAACAGGAATGGTATGTTCAGCTTATATTGAAAGCATGACAGCTATTGACTATTTTGTTTTGAGATGTGATCATTCAGACTCTTAACTGGCTTTTGCAACTGTGTGTCAGAGTAGTACGCTGCTGTGAATTATTTTGTTTTAAATGTAAGTTGGAGGTGTTCCAAGTTTTTAAGGCACTGACTCATTAATCCGTGTATGGATTTACATAGATTTGGATTTCATTTCTAGTGCTTTGTGTAAATATGTAACAACCCCTTGCTCTTTTTTATCTTTTTTTTTTTTTTTTTTTTGGAAAAGAATGCTAAATTTACAGTTGGCAATCATGCAAATTCTTAATAAAGAGTAAATGGGTATGGTAAAAAAAAAACCCAGAAATAAGAACCTTATGAAAATTAAATTAGGATCAGGAAAAAAGTTCTATAAAAAGGAAGGATGTGGAAACTCGTGGTAGAGATTGTATAGATGATAGTGCTCAGTAAATAAAAGCATCCAAGAAAGGTATATGAAATAACCTGTGTTTTGTATTTTCATTTTTTTAAATCAATTTGGTTTTAATACTTTCAAGCTAATATCTTGGAAAGGTACTGTTATTTTTCAAACTCTTCCTTTGATAACCAGATGCCTTATTCAAATGACAGAGAACTTGGAAAATATCAGAAAGCAAGTAATCTTACTCAGTGGAGAGTTACAGTCTCCAATTGCTTCAAAGAAGCAGGTAAGCAAATCAAAAACATCCTCCAGCACTCAGCAGGAAACATTTTAGCTGAACATGTAGCTTCAGTCTAAAGTTAGTTCCTTCTTCTTGAGAGATTTTTAGATATTACCTTCTGAATTATCTTCCTAATTCCAAATAATATACTGACATATCTTGAACTGGTAACTTTTTTCTTTCATCAATGTCAAGAATTTAAAAAAAAAAAGAATTTATTAAAAAAGTAAAAGCTCAAAGGGTGTGGGAAGCTACTTACTGAGATGCTTTACTTTTACAATTTGAAGCACATTTCCAGACTGATTAACAGTATTTAAGTTTCAATCACTTTTATTGCTTCATAAGTGGTCTGCTGCCACTGTTGGTAAAATTCTATTTCACATAGTGAGCATATTTGTCAAGACATGTCTGTTACTTGAGAAATTCTGTAAATGTCTATATATATTTCAAAAAAACTTAGCACCATCTTAATACTATTTATTTACTCAGAAAAACGAATCAAACTAGAAGCTTCTCAGAACAGCAGCTCATGAACATTAAAAATAAGTAATCAGATATTTTAGTATAATAAGTAAGGAGGCAGATTAAGAGCATGCCACTTGTCATTAGCATACAGAAATGTAAAGCGTAGCTTAGTAAATCACCAAACTTATTAATAGTGGCTCAATTCAGAAGCAGAAAAAGGCAGTAAAATGATCAGATTTCCTGTTTGGTATTCCCAATTGAAAATGTACAGGAATATAGAAATATAGTATACAATAAACCAGGGGATATAGGAATATAGTATAAAATAAACCAGAGGAAAACGAAAATCTGGTATCAGAGGAGCATGTAGATTCCCATATAGCTCACCAGGAGATCTAGGAACTTTTGGAGTACTGCACTATACTTGTCCTTTTGAGCTAATTTGGATGGCGTCAGCAGTCCAAGGCCTCCGAGGCACGTTACAAAATAAGTACACTCTAGGGGCCACCATCTAATGCCACAGAACTTCCTACCTTCAGTGCCACTTCTTTTAATTCATCATAATCCCAGCAGCAACAGAAGAGTTCTGTTCCAGTCTCCTTTGCACTTACCTGCTTTGTTTTCCTCCAGTCTGTCTCAGATATAATTCCCTTGTCCTTCTTAGGGCACATCTTAGTATCTTACTCCTAGTTCATCCCCTCTTCAACCCATATGGCGTTTCATCCCAGTTGTCACCATCTTATTCCTCTCTGATACAGCAGTTCTCCTCTTTGCCTTCCACTTCTAAAGCTTCTTTCCTCAAATACTGAATACTCATCTTCTGTGTGGTATCAAAATCACCCCCGGAGGGTGATTTTTTTCCTTGCTCCCCAGAGAGGAGCAAGAAAATCCTGTCCAGCTGCTATGACTCTATCATGGACCATGCTTAGTTAGACAGAAGCACTGACAAGTTTTAATTGTCAAAAGTTCAAACTGATCTCTACTCAGTATGTGCAAAGTGACAATCTTGAGAGACTTGTGACTTAGACAAATCTTGACAGATTCTCACAGGCATGCCAAAAAACATATCCTTTCTTTCAAAGCAGTGCTCTTACTCCAAAGCACGGAGGCTGTTAGAATTCTGAGTAAAATGCATGTAAGGATTTTTATAATCAAAGGAGCTTGCTTTATTTCACCTACAGTTTTTGAATGAAAGTTTACTGAAATTGTAGTGTGTATTCACTAAAAAGTTAGCATCTTTTGTCTGATTTACAGACAAATTGCCCCTGACTGACACTGAAAACTGCCTTCTATAAATCAGAGTTCCAGGGAATTGAAAGTAACGGTGCCGTGCCTGAACCTTCTGTAAATAAACTTAGTTACTGCTTCAAAGTATTAGTGCAATTTTAAAGGAGCATCTTTTGACAGCTCCAAGCTCTGTGTTTGACTAACTCTCCTGCTTTGCTGCTGGAGGAGAAAATATGTAATAGAACAAACCCAAGGCCAAGCTGCCGACAGACAACTTCAGCATCTGCGTCATCCCACTGATCGTCACAGACAGTCCCCCACTGGCCAGAATGATAGACTTCTACTCTTCCTTCATGAGTGTTGTTCCCACCAGCCAGCCGGATTGGAGTAAAGACAGGGACTGTGATCAAACATAGAATATAGGAAAAGGTTATTTCTTCCCCAAATTTTATCCTAATAGTAAAGAAAAAAGATCACTTAATTGTTTCTCTGACATCCCTCAAGAACCACACTTCTTTTTCTTTTAAGATGGAAAACCTGAAAAAAAAAAGAGTTCTCCTACTGCCAGTCTTCGGTAGCTGAAGAATATTATGGTTACAGACAAGTACCCATACTGATCTTGAGTTACTTAAGGGTAAGAATGTTCACAGATACTTAGGGCTGTAAGGCCAAATACTACAATCAATCAGTTACAGCTGCATTTCTACCAGTAGGAGCAAAATTGGCTCTGTATAGGCTGGGTCCCAGAGGGTAAAATCTGAAGTTAAGAGGCCCAAATTCTTTCATTACCGCAGAAGGAGAAATTTATCTTCACGTTTTCTCATTTCTTTGGTAATTCCAGTCAGAGCAGTGAAATCTCATTGACCGTGGAGACTCACTTTAATTTATTCCCTTCCTGTTTCTGAGATACGGTTTGGGTTTTGGTCTTTTCAAACCCTTAGCCCTTTTCTGGTCCAGCAAGAAATTGTCTTGAAAGCATCACTTCTGCATAAAGTTATAATAATGCAGCAGCTTAAAACCATATGGAAAATCATTGCTATATTATTTAAAAGGTCATTTTAAAGTTTCATCATATCTAACATCTGAATGATTTAAAATGTGATTAAATTTTTTTTGGTTTTTTTTTTTTTTTGGTAGGCCTTCCAAGCAATTAATGCTACTATTTCATCTATTTCTTGGCTTTAAAAAAAAATGGAGGGCATTTGTAACTACTTTAAAAGGCATCTAGGTGCAGTAAAACCTTTAAAACACAAAAGCTTCATCTAATCTGCTGAAACTTGGGATCTGTTTAATTCATTTCCGATATCCTGTACTCTACATTACTTGATAAACTTTCTTTCAGCATTACAGAAACAGACAACAGTCCTTTAATAAATTTACCTAAGCAAAACAAAGTTTTCTGATGAAAATGTCCATAAACAGAAGGAAAATATTATAATCTAAAAGTATAATTTGTAAATTTATAGTTTTCAGTGTCTTTAAGCAAAACTATTTCTCTTGCTTTGGTCCTTCAACTCGTCTGCTAGTTTAAAGATTCTCCTGTCCTTCTGCACTATAGTTTTCTCGATTAAGACCATAATGATTTTTTAGAAGTCATTTATCAAAATATTCCTCATGAATAGTGGTCCTTTAGGACAAAAATTCATCTGCCTTTGGCATTAAGTAAGGAAATATAAATAGGAGAGAAAAGGCAGCACAGAACTGACTGAGGCCATCCATGTTTTAGATACAGGAGAAGAAACTGGCATTACCAGCTCCTCAGCACTGCCAGCCTAGCCTTCCTCAGGGGTGGCAGTATCTTAAATCTGATGGCACGATTACCTACTTAGTTGCTGGTTAGCATGTTGATTAAAATAATCTGACATATCTTAGAAACATTAATAATACTTTTTTTCTAACAGTATCAGTTTGACTTATGGGAGTGATGTGTATGGTAGCAGTCTTAAGCTAGAAAGCCTTGGACTTTTTTTAAATGTACGCAGAATAGGGCAAAAACTTTATAGCTCCTTGTGCAATGTCAGCCACGTTCACAGGAAGGAATGTCATCCCAAAACTTCTGTACCAAAGGAGAAGGCATCACCTGTTTATGAAACTGATGCTCCTCCCTAATGTTCAAGAAAAGCTAACAAATTGACATGTAGTTTATGTAGCTATCAAAGACACCCTTCTGGGTAAATAAATTAATAACTTTTTTAAGTTAAAAAAAAAAAAAAAGAGATGTGGGGGGGAAAATTCCTACTTTTACAGTAAAAGATTCTTGCTGCTTCACCCTTTCTCACATCCAAATCTCAAAACACCAGTTTGCTTGTTGACTATGGGAAGGTAAAAAGCAGTTCAGCTAGTTGAGGCTTGCACAGCATAGAGGGATTTGAAATAGTTAATGATGCAATGATACAATCTGTTTAATTTCCTGTTCCAAGAAGTCTTAATATTTTTTTCTAATTTAATAATGAGTAATTACTGCTGCTTCTATTTAAATAAGGTAAGGAGGTAACCAAACCATAAGGTTCTTTTACCCAGGGAAGAGCTACATGTGACAGCAGCTGCCATTTTTTGAGGACATGTTCCATCATGCCAGATGTCTTTTTCACATAACAATATATTTTCTTCATCACCACGACAACGCACTTCATTCCAGTAAATAGGAGTAAGGCCCAGTCCAGAAAATGGTACCTGTTTTGCTGTACCTTTTTCACTGTAAGAAAAATAATCAGGATAGGACATTAGAGTGGGAGGAGCAGAAGTGGAACATTTTCTCATCTATAAATCCTGGAGAAGAAAAAGCTTTCTTTAGCAGTATAAATTCATACTTTGTTCAACATTGTCTTCTGTACAAAGAAAAGTAACAGATGTGACCCAGTTCTCACAGTGGCCTGTGTTGCTGCAGGGCCAACCACATCCCTGTTCTCCCAGTTCTTAACTACAAAAATCAACACGGAGTCCACAGTCCCTAGGTGAATCTATAGTATCATCCCACTGCAGTTGCCAGGAGAGCTAATGCTAACATTTACTTCTTACCTTTGATGCTTATCCTTGCCTTTGCTCCATTAAAACATACCAGTGCTCTGCCCATACACGTCACATAGTACAGTTGTGACCATGGGGCACTGAAACCCCCTCATACTCTATTACATCAGGATGTAGTGTCCATTATTCTCTATTCAGACATTCCCATCCAGAATATTTATAAACAGCCTCCTTTTCCTTCCCATACTGAAGCTACAGTGGTAATCATTCAGCCATCTTTTCTTCCATATAATGCCAAACTAAAAAGCTTAATTTAATTAAAAAGAATAAATTAAAACTAAAGTCCAAATATTTTAAAAGCAAATTAACAGATGGAAGCACCTGAAAGACACCAATAGCACCTGGTGAGTTTACCTTGTGGGATATAGATCTGAATTCCTGTGAAACACTCATGGTAACAGAAGCTTTCAGCTGATGTGTGCTTGTAGCTTTTTGGCCTTGATTGAGATTTAAGCTATTTCTATTGGAAAGAGCAAATCGTTCACCTGTATCACTGAACTACTTTTGCTAATAGTGGTGGTGTTCAACTGAAGTGTTTAGGATATGGAAGGCAAAAAGAGCTTACATAAAAATGAGGAAAGGAGACATTGCACGTAGACAGCTCAAATCATAAGCAAAATCACAGCTTCCAGATGGCTGAACTTTTATCTCATCTAATCCTCATATTTTTAAAAATTGGCATGATGTGTCCATATTGAACATTATAAAGCAGTTTAGATTCCATTCTGGCTAGCAGTCTTAAACAGTAGAATAATCATTAGGAAAGTAACAGTGCAAGTATGCTATAAAAGCCCCTTACTGCTTGTAGCAGACAAGATCACTACTTTGGTATATGACTGAAACAAATGTTAGAAAGGCAATAAAGGCAGTGATACTTAGTGGCTTATTCAGAAAGTGCAAAAAAAGAGCCATAAAAAAAAGGGGGGGGGGGAGGGATATTCAAATGATTTGGTTGCTAACTTGAAGAGCACTCATTTTTTAGAAGCTGAGATTGCATTTTATTTATTAAATTGCCTTTTGGCATGGGCATTTTCTTCCTTGCCTCAGTTTTATCTTACTACTGCAATTGCAGTATCACTATAGGCATTATCTAGAGTTTAATGACTAATTATGTTATAGGGTCCTGTTCCAAGAGCAGTGGGAAGTAGTGGTCAATGAGGACAATGCAGGGACTTTCAACCTGTACTGTACTTTATTTTGTACTTTATTTTTTATTTACTTTATATGTACAGTATTACTTTAACTCTGTAAAACCTTGCCACAGAAATGTAAAGCTACAAAACTTGTCTGGTTTTGGGGGGGCTTTGTTGTGGGTGTGCAACTTTGAAAGTAAACCACACAGATTATCTAACTAGATGAAGATGTGCCTAACAGAAATGCCTAGGATGAGCCTCAGATTTTTTTTGGCAGGGTGGAATGAATGCCAAGCTCTCATCATAGGAATTTTCCTATGATTAGGAGTCCATATAGAGTCTAATTCTGGACACATTTACATTTTTATAGATTCAGTAACCTCACTCGAGCTGTTCTTAATTGACACTTCCATAAGTGAGATCAGATCAGACCTCGTATTTCTCCCCTTGTGGACATCTCCTGGAGGTCTAGTAAAGTAGCTTTTGTTTGCAAAGGTTTTCCGGCCTGTTCGCAATTTTCACTTGGAAAGGAGAGTTTCCAAGCTGGTCTGCTCCCCTCCAGATCCCACATGCAGCTTTCAAATGAAATACTGTTTCTCACAGCAATCTCTTTGAAGTACAATGCAACTGAAGGATTCTGGGAAGAACAACTTCAGCATTCAACAACTTTAAATAGAAAAAACAATCACCAAACACAAAGAGCTCTCAGGATTTGCAAAATAGATTGCCCTTTATACTGAAACATCATTAAAATAAGTTGACTGATTTTTACTCAGACTGAAACTTACCCAAGTGCAAGTTGTTGACATACAACTGTTGCATCATCATTGTCCCAGTGGCTCCCACAGACTCTTCCCCAGATTCCATTCAAATAAACCTCCACTGTACCTTCAAACTCATTCTTGCCACCCTGGAGTCTCACCGTCCCTAGTTAAAAAAAATATAAAATAAAATCCTGCAAGATACTCTGTTGCTCAGTTAATGTATCCTATACAAAAGACTCTGAACCTCATTTTCCCTTTGTTCTATGTGTCACTATCTTTGTGCTCTTTGAGTGAGCACTCTGGCACATCTAGTATTCTTATACAGTGATATACAAAAGGAGGTAACATTTTTTACATGAAGAAAACATTTTCCTTCTTATACTGAAATTACATCACATTTCTGATCCTTCTGATGCTACAACTTAAAGATCTAACAAAAAAAAAAAAGTATGTATAAGACTACACATAATTACTTAAATGTGGTTACCTCTACCCAAATGAGCAGTAAGTATATATATGTGCCATACTTCTATCCTCCACATAATTCCATCCAATTTAAGAGAATCAGAAAACAACTACATGGGTTGCATAGCTTTTGGTCTGAGCAGTGTAACATTATGCATGTCATGAATGTCAGCAGTTTATTTTAGCCAAAGAATGCATTTGTTCATACTTGTTCTCAGACACAAAAACACTGGATGTGGTTTCACTAATTCATGAGAGGTCTTTACCAAATTCTCAAACAAAACCATGAGGAATCCTCTAAAAAAAAAAAAAAAAAACTAAAACAGTTTGCTTCTTGAGAGCTACAGAATTCCAAGAAAATTAGCAGTTTTGCTTTTTCTTATTACAGTAGTGTTACTTCAGATGCCAGATGGATCTGCTGATGAAGCTAGCCAAGTGCCACTGATAAAGGTATAAAAAAGCTGGTTATAGGTAGAACTGTAGAGAAGCAGAAGAGTCATAACAGAGCAGAAATTTACAATAATACCTTCCTGTTAATTTGTCAAACAATGCCTAATTGCATGCTTTAGTATTGCCAGAAATCTCAGTTAATCCATCTGCCTCTGTTCTGTGATCTGCTTAAAATCAGAAGCTACACCATCATCATTCAGGTTGCATGGGAGAAAACGACTAATTTTGTGTCTGCATTTCACTGTATAGGTGTTCACATATGTGTAAAGAATGATGATGATGATGATAGGTAGATTCACTTTTTCTTCTTTCACTCAGATTGTGTCCTGGTTTTAATTTAGTTCAGTAATGTTTTATAAACTCAGAAAGCCAAATGACTGCCAAATAACTTGAGGAATTAATTAACCTCAAACTTAGTTTCAGGTTCCTTTTTGCCTCTTATTTACTTTCTCAGCAGTAACCTACTGTGCAGTAAACTACAAACAAAATTTATTCAACTCATATGACAGAGTGACCTGTCATTCTGAATACAGGATTATCACTAGTGCAGGCATGTTGTACATTGTTTATCTGCCTTTAGAATTTTTATCTGTGTTTTTCTGTCATAGACAGAGTCTGGAATTCTGTTTATTTCTGCTCTTCACCAGACTTTTGTATAGACTACTATTTTCACTTAAAATATCAGCTGCAGTCATAGTAAAGTGATTCCTGGTATACCAGAAAGCAATTTTAAAGATGTCATCTCCAAAAATCAGTTTATTTTTGCACCCGATTCCTTACAGTCCTGTATGACACCTACCGAAATCAATACAGTGTTTCCTGAATACATATTACACAATATTTGTATTCAAGTTATTGAACAAGGGAGTCCTTGAAGAATAAAATTATTTTCTAAGGTCTCCATGGCAGATTTTGGCTCACTCCTCGTTCTGTGTTTACACAATTCCCAATTACAACAGTGGACAAATTTATTCATTACACAGAGCAGAAGACAACACAAGAGACAAATGACAGAAATCTGAAATCCTTCACATCTCCAGTAGAAGCCTCAGGAAAGAAGTTTGATAAGCACAGAGTTCTCACCGTGGACACATACCATTAAAGAAAGAAAACAGTTTTTCCCTTGCCACCCCCTAAAGTTCCCTAGGTGACATCTGTTCCCAGTTGCAGTGGGAAAGCATACTACTGGTATCAGTGGTAAGGAAGGGAGAATGACTGGAAGAGACAGTGCCCATGCCTGTGGGAAGAGACATAGCTAAAAACAATAAATGAGGGATTTTAAAAAAAAATTATCTAATATCTCAACAAAATATTTTTGTTTGCTTTTTTCCTGTAGATTTCCAGCTGTGCATAGGAGCACCAACGTTTTATGAAGAGCAGTAGCATTCATAACCAACCTTTGTTCATCTCACAAGAAAATAGGATAAAGAACCAGCTTCTGTTATACAGAAAACACAAGATTATTGCTAAAGGTAATTTTTTTAACAGCTAAAATATTCTTGATTTTTACCTGCTAAATTAATCCAGAGATTAAAAAAAAAAAAAAGTCAATTTTTATATGTAACTAATATTAAACCTCTTATTGTGCCTGCTGGTTTTAACAGAGTTAACCAAATATATGCTATAATAATTCTAACACGCTGGTTGCATTGAGTCACTACTCTCCTCGTAGGATAGTATTGATATCTACAGCTATGATTAACCTCAACCATCCAGGACAAAATTCAGCACTCTCTCCTCAAGAAAAACAGTAAGTAAAACCATGAATTGCAAATAGAATGGAAATCCCTTCCACTTCTGCTTTACATGTATGTGATGCAGCAGTGGAGTTTATGGTGTTGGTTAAATGTGCGCCAGTAGTTTCTTCATAAACACTTGTTTCCAAAGGTTTGCGATTTGGCTAAGTGTAGATTTGGAAAAGAGAGATCAGACGTAGAACCAATATGTGCCTTTCACCCTTGTGCTGGGTGCTCTGAAATTGCAGATTTAAGGCAAAGCACAATAAGTACTTTACATTTTGGAAATCTGTAAAAACAACAAATATTTTCATTTCTGCTTCCATTTCCAAGGTGTTTTGATGTCGGATAGTGCCACAGAAAGGCCCTGCACTCATTGTTCATCTCTGTTGCCCTGGAATCAATTAGGTAAGTCCAAAGTGACATAACGTGCCAGTGTCTCCTACTGACACATGCTGTATATATATCCCATGTAATCACGTTGTAACTCACAGTATTTCAGAATGCTGTTGGATGATTCATAATACATGTAAAAGAGTCTATCCCAGTTTCAGAATGAAATTAATTAACCAGTTTGCATGAGGTACTTGTAAAAAGCTATCTGTAGTACAAGTCAAATCTAGCACCAGTTTAAACCAATGGCAATTTTTCTTCCCTTCCAGGATCAGGCCTAGCTAAAATCAAAGAAATTTGTTTTGTTGATGAAAAACTATGCAAATCAGCAAAACTATGGATGATGCTTGCTGTGATCAGTGAATGCTGCTGTCCATCATTTTGCTGAGCCCTCTTAGTCTAAAATAATCATTATTTTCTCCTGGTATTCTAACCTAGAAAAAAAGGATGCATCCATCAGAACTACTTTTAAAGAACTATCTTGAGAACTTCAGGAGAGCGCTGTATTGCATACTCAAGGATCCTTACATTAGAAGTTTCATAAATATTGTATATATTGTGTGTGAAATGTGCTGAACTGATTCCTCTGCAGAGTGAGATTCACCATGCCAACGATCAATTGTTTAAGTCTCTGAAAAAATAAATGGAAGTGTTAGGAATGTAACAGGCTCTAAAGATCTGCCATTGTCTTATGTGTTACAGAGCTGTACAAAATGAGGGGTCTTACGCTGTGCAGCTGTAATAAGAATGGTTTCAGGGGAACTGCTTCTTTGAAGGAAAATACAGACATTCATGTTCATTTTTTCATCATTTTTTTTTTCTTTAACCCTATGCTCTTAAAAAAAACAAAGTCCCCCAAAAGACCTTCCATCAACTGCGTGGACTACAGTATAATGCAGAGAAAAATCAAGCGGTTTAGACTGTAAGCCTGAGGCTTGATTCTTCACTCACAGTTTAGTAAAGCATCATTTGATTAGTATTAGTGGAATTACCCTGTGGTAAAAGCAATTTAAATGGAAAGACTACAGTCTGGCCATTCTGGGGATGTGGATTTTATTTCCAGTTCTGCAACTGATTATTAGGGTGACTTCTGGCAGAGACACATATCCTTTCTTCTATTGTTTTTCCTTTGTAAAATACAAAAAAATAGTTAACCCCCTTGGCTCAAAGAGCTTTAAGTTAGATACGTAACAACATAGCATAAACAGCATAGCATGCAGAATACTGTAGTTACATGCCATAAACATTATGGGCAGTGGTTGCTTCTAGGTACTGAGGTAGGCCTCTTTTTTGAAGCATGAGTACATTACATGTAAGTTATTAGCAGTAACTAAAATACTAAACTTTGCTGGACTACTGTTGACTCTGTGTACAAAGTACTCAGACTCATTTATTTTCCTCTATGATTTCCTTGGCTAATAATGATAATTTTTATATGCATGTTGGTACTTGGTTTACTTGCTTTCAAGGCATGAATAAATTATATTACCCAGATGTCTCTCTTTCGAGAAGGAAGGAAATGAACACCAAAATCAATTATTTAAACTATAAAACAGATTTTAGACTAGTATCACACAGTATAAAGGCATTTGTATTATTATCATTATCATCATCATTATTTGCCAGTAATGTTTAAATATAAAGCAGTTTAATAAATACACATGCATTAATTTTAGCCAGTTAACTTTTCAGGTAAGTCTTAATATGTAAGCTAGAAAAGCCAGAAGATTTACAGTTAAGACTTTGAACATGGTATTGTGTTTAGTCATTGCAGGTGCTGAATAACTAAGCATGGGTTCCCTAGGACATGTACTAAAGCAGTAGATGCAGTGAGTTTATCTCTGAATAGTCTGTCCTTCTCCAGCTATAAAATGCATCATATCATTGCCTTAGTTGCCTTTCTGTGCTTCTTGTATTCATGACGAATACTACAATAATGTTTATTATTGCTGGGCAGATGGCTTAATTTATTTCCATGTTCCATCTCAAGCCATCTCACACACTAACACTTTCATATCACCTCCATGAAGGCTTTAGGACAGATGTTTGCTCTGTTGATGTCACTCAAAATTTACCAGAGTCCAGTAGGACCAGACAACCTTTCAAAAAGAAAGTATTGTCTACTGTTCAGTAGCTACATCCTACCTCTTAACACAGGCTAACCTGGATTTCCTTTTTCTGGGAGGAAAAAAGCATCATTCTGAAAAGACTAAAGAAACATGGCTAAACCCAAACCATGTAGTACTTTTTGGTATTTTTTTTACTTAAATCACATTTGTGCTGAACTCACAGGGGATTCTGGAATTTAGTAAGTGCAGTCCTGGGTTCTTAGCAATACAATGCTATGTTCTTCTCCACTGTAACATGTTAGACCAAGTCCTCACGAAGTATTTTTAGGAACCAGACTGAAGAATTCTGAAAACAAAAGCTATATATATGATGGGCTAAATCAAAGAAGCAACTGTGGGATTCCTTTCCCAGACTGAGATGAGTTAAAGGGTGTGAAGACTTCTGGATTTATTTTTCATCTGTCTCCAGTTATCCATTTTCTCCTGCATGGCATCAGTTGCCTGGTATTCTTTCCAGGAAAACATTTGTAATGCATAACATCCTTCTATCTTCTTGAAGGAATACAACATTTGACTTGGAAGCTGTGTTTTTCTTTTAATGCATATACAACCGATATGGAGGCACCTTAATGCTTCCCTATGCTCTTCATGTAATATTTTATACCAATATGTATTATTATCACATTGGTCAAATTATCAGCTTTTTTTCACACAAAAAAATAGGCCTTCTAGGCCTATTTTTGGAAGAGAAAGATAATAACCCTCTTCAGAAATCTGAAAGTAGATTAATTAAAAAAAACAACCCAGAAAACTTCCACAAGAACAAAATTATTGATATCAATGATCAACTTCCTTGCTGACCTTGTGATATTACAAGATATGTAAAAGGAAGGGCAACAAAGAAGAGAATTTATTTTTGTTGCAGAAATTCTGCTTCATTATTTTTAGTAAAGCTAGAGATAAGGCATAATTCTGATTTAGGTAGGAGATAATACCAAAGAGATGCAGGAGAAAATCACAGAATAGAATCATAGGATAGTTTGGGTTGGAAGGGACATTCAGAGGTCATCTAGTCCAAGTCCCCTGCAATGAGCACGGACATCTTCAATTAGATCAGGTTGCCCAGAACCACATCCAGCCTGGCCTTCAGTGTCTTCAGGGGTGGTGCATCCACCATCTCTCTGGGCAACTTGGGCCAGTATTTTACCACTCTCGTTGTAAAGAGTTTTTTCCTCACATCCAGCCTGAATCTCCCCTCTTTTAGTTTAAAACCATCACCCCCTCGTCCTGTCGCAACAGGCTCTGACAAAAAGTCTTTCCCCATAAGAACTGAAAGCCTCAATAAGGTCTCTCTGTAATCTTCTCTTCTCCAGGCCCAATAACCCCAATTCTCAGGCGTTTCTCCTAGGAGAGGTGTTTCACCCTTCTGATCATTTTTGTGGCCCTCTCCATCTTCCCTGTACCAAGGACTCCATAGCTGGATGCGGTACTCTAAGTGGGTTCCCAGATTCAGATGTGAAGTCATTCCAAACCAGACTGTACAGAAATATACTATATATTTAACACCAACGGTGTTAGCTAAGGGGCTGAATGCTGAAATTGCTGTTCAGACCTTATGCACTGAAAATTTCCACTGAAGTCACTGGGAGTTTAGCTGGGGGGGGGCAGGGGGAAGCAGGTCTCTTGACAGGGTCACAGATGTCCTTAGGCACCAGCGCTAACTTGCAATCCCCACTACCTCAAGATGGAGAAAGGGGGATAGGGGGAGAAAGAAAGATACAATGAGGGAGCAGCTCGCGTTTAGAGAGCATGGCATCCTTCTGCCACTGGGCTTCTGGAGACCCAAGTGCTTCCTGTAGAAGTGTGCCCGATTACAAAAAAGGGGAATGACAGCCTTTGCTAACTGAGCCTACTGAATACTTCAAGCGCAGCTTCTTAACGCGATTCACCTAGTATTAAAATAGCGTCGGACTAAAACCAGGTCGGACCTTCGTCCTTCTGCTGTACCTACTGATGTAAAAGTTTAAACGCTCCTCTCAGAAAAGCGTTTGCTGTCATTGTGGCAAAAGGTGTCTGTTCTCTGTTACCTGTTCCCTCCAACGACGGGGAACCCGGCAGGGGACTGAGAGAACGCCGCCGCCCTGCTAATGCTCTTTGTGCAGCGAAGACGGTCGTCCGCCCGCAGCTCGGGTCCGCCACTACCATACGCCCGACGGCGGCGCTTCCTCGCCCCCTCCCCGTTGCCCGGCGCCCCCGCCCCTCTCACCTTGCTTGCAGTCAGCGCGGCCGCGCTCCGCCGGGCCCTGGCCACCCCCCGGGGCGCACCCGGGCCGCCCGCCGCCCCCGGGCAGGGCGCAGGAGCAGCGGCGGCCCCGCGGCGCCCGCCCCGCTGCCCGCCGCTGCGGGAGAGTGGACGCCGCCGATGGCCAAGGGTGCCGGGGAGCGGCGAAGCTCCCGGCTGGCGGCACAGCTGGGCGGCCGGCGGGGGGCGGCGGTGGGGCCGAGGCGGGGGGCTGCGGGTGGCGGATGGCCGGGAGGCTGGCGGAGACCTGCCCCAGCTCGCGGGCTCCGGCGATCGTCCCTATCACCAGCGCCACCACAAAGCCAACGAATATCATGGTGCCAGTCCCGCCGGCTCGGGTCCATCTCCCCCTCTCATCACGCCCTGGATGCGAGGGGGGGAAGGCGGGGCCTCGGCGTCCCGCTAATCACCCACGCCGCGCACCCCTGTGGCCCTCCCCCCGGCAGAGCTGCCTGCGGGGGCAGGGCGAGCGGGGCGCGGCGGAGAGGCGCGGAGAGGCGAGCAGCTGCAGCCGCAGCAGTAGCAGCGGCGGCCTCTGGGGCTATCAGCAGCAACTCTTCAGGGCAGCATCTGCTCCGGCAGCCCCAGCAGGGCTTCGGAGGGGACCGCGAATGGACCGCGCCGTCCGCGCTACCGGGAGCCCGGCCTCGGGCGCTCTCCCTCTTGCTGCCACTCCCGGGCGCCGCTGCCCCCCGTAAACCTCCCTGCGTCTTCCCCGGCCCCCCATCGGGTTCGTCGCTGCCCAGGCTCCTCCCCCACCCGCTTCTGTCGCGCACTTGGGGCTCCCCTGCCAGCCGCCTTTTTCTCTGCCTTCGATCCTCCCCCGGCTGTGCCTCCCCCAACCCCGCCGACAGCCGCACAAAGAGCAGAAGGAGCCCGGGCAGGCAAAGCCTTGGCCAGAGGCAGGAACGCGCAGCACGGGAAAAAGGGGGACAAAACTGACGCGCGCAGCGGCTGAGGAGACAGGGGGATGGAGAGCGAGCACCAGCCGTGTCTGCAGGAAACAAAGAGGCTGGAAACGAATGCTGTGAAGAGAAATGTCTTCGAGTTTAGCTTTATAGCCAGCCCCATGTGCTCTGAATAGTAATCTGCTTATTCCCGGGGGGTTGTGACTAAGGGACCTGATCATCTCCGATTTTCTCTTTCTACCGGGATGGCTGTCAGTTAGTTTTGCTTGTCTCATATTATTCAGTTGTTAGTTTGGGTTAGTTGTTATTTTATACTTTACCACTTTTTTTTAATCTCTGTTTTTCATATTTGCAGAGTCCCACCCTGTCTGATAGAGTGTGCAACCTTTATTTGACAATTTGTTTGTAGTGTGAGCCTGTAAATTCACCTCTCTATAGGATCCTTTTGTTGGGTTGGGGGGGGGGGGTGTCTTTATTTTTTTGGCTGAGAAGTGTTAATCTGGTTTATGGGTGAGCACATCAGTATTCCCATAACCTTGTAGAGTCTAAGAGAAAGAGTGAGTGTGCTTTCTGCTTTTCTGCAGGATCCCATGTATCTCCAGTAAATGGTGGCCTTCCTGTAACAGCCTCCAAGCTGTTCAAAAGGTGCAAAATGCAACTTCAAATTTAAGCTTTTGTTTATAGGAACAAAAGAGCTCCAGGGCTAAGGAAAAGCAGGTCCTACAGTGTTTGGTATTACCTGTATTTATTTTAGCTCTGCTCATCTGTGATTAATATTGTTTTGCAACATCGCATTTGTTAGTTTAATCACAAGGTTAAAGAATATTCTGCTGAGGTTTCTACAGCAAGGCGGTAACTGCTGTCACATGTGTGTGTTGCACTTTTTTGTGCATATAAGAGCACAGATTGTTCTTTTTGAGTTTTCTTCTAGGGGTATGTATATGCATTAGTTTAGAAACTGTCAGGACTGGCAAGAGTTGTATTTATCTTCAAAATATTTGAATATATACAAGATATTAACCTGAAAGTGACTCATTATGGCCATTTTTAAATGGTCTGAAAATTTGTTGCTGTCAGGACAATTTGGTTGGTTTTATCCTTTGAAGGGACCAGTTAAAAGCATGCTCAGCCTGGCCACTTAAGGCTTCTTTCATTGCTTAGTAAACACTTGTTGGTATCACAGTCACAGCAATATTTCATTTTCCCAGACCTAAGCTCTCCTTCCACTCCCCAGCCTGGAAGGGGAAGGGTTCTGCTGATCAGCACATGAGGGAAAGAACAGATGAATATGATGAATCTTACAGAATGCTTCAGGCAAAGCTTGAGCCTGGTACTTAACATACGTGCAGATTTCATGTGTCTCCCCTAGGTGTATGGGCCAGCAGGAATCTTATACACAGTGAACTTTCTTTGCCTGTGTAGGGTAGAGGTGTTTGCGCTTGCAGTTGCAAAGTGGTACTAAGCAGGTGGATTTGAGGAAAAAAAGTGGGGTTACAGAGGGAAAAAGGTTTGGAAGTAACTGGATTTATTAAAGAAGCATCAAGAACAAAAAAGCAATTGTCATAATGATTCCCTCCCAAGATGAGAGTTTAGGTTTAGTTTAATGATCCACATAACAGATTCACTCTTGAACATTTTATTATTTTTTTTATTATGATTGTTATTTTTCACATAATCATGTAAGGAGAATGAGCTTTAATTTGTTTTAATAACTGTAAACTAGCTTTCACTATGATGTTACGTCTGTTACTGCTATGTGAAATAATGCTTATGTTAGAATTTACAAATTAGGGACTTGGTCCAGCTTCAGTTAAAAACATTGATAATAGTTTCACTGTAAGTAGGAGGGGCCCTTTTCTAAGAAAGACTGGAATTGATGCAGTTTGGTTTTCCCAGAGTGCAGGTTTTGCGCTTTGGTTGCAGCTTCTGTCTTGGCTAAAGCATTTATGAGTGTCTCTCCCATATGGTTTCTCTTGTGTTTGAACTGTATATGAATATGTGAGCTCATATTGCAGTTTGTCCTTTGGCTGTGGCATTTACAAGTGCCACATAAATCAATCTTGTCTGCTTGACTACTTTTGTTACATTTGCAGGAAACTCATTATCTGTGTTACCCTCCGTCTCAATGGATCTGGGCATTATGTACAGCTCTGACTCTGAAATCACATTATGCAATTTTTCAGAAAAGAATTGTCACAGAATGTTGAGAAAATAATAAACCTTTGAAAACTGTGCTAGTTATACTCCTGCAGCAACACTGCAGGATTTAAAGTACGTAATCTGTATTTAACAAGGCCTGCTTTTTTATATGAAAACAAGCTTGTTTTGTTTTTTTCGAGACTAGTGGAAAAGATGATACATTAAGATGATATTACAGTGGGTGAACTGACTCCAGCGGACATACATAGCAGTTCTCCCTTTTGCAAAATATTTTCAATACTTAATCTTTCTATTTAGTTTGTACCTCTTACTAATAGAGGTAGTACCTATTAACAGCAGTCCCATGGAAGTCCATGGAACAACACTCATGACCAAAGTTAGCAATCTGTGCTGTGTACCTTGACAGCTTCTGCAAGAGCAGTTGTAGAAAATCATCTGCTAGAATAGGTCTTAATTTGTGTACAGTTCCACAGGGTTAGCTGCTTGTTTCTCTCCTGATATTTGACAGACCCAGTACCAAAGAATCATAAATACTTCATATGTATGAACTGATCTGACCACTCCAACACACACCCCACCCCCCAAACACACACTGTATTTCTATGCATAGATTCATCAGGTTACCAGAGAAATGGAAGCTATCAGAAGAACTGGCTAGCCTGGATTTGGAGGAGGCTGAAGTTCTCAGTGACTTCTTTGCCTCAGTCCTCACTGGCAGGTGCTTTGACCACACCACCCAAGTCTTGGAAGGCAGACTGTGAGAATGAAGACCTTAGGCCCACTGTAGGAGAGAATCCAGTTTAAGATCATCTTAAGAACCTGAATGTGCACAAGTCCATGGGTCCTGATGAAATCCATCTGCGGGTCCTGAAGGAGCTGGCAAATGAAGTTGCTAAGCCGCTGCCCATCATATCTGAAAAATCATGGCAGTCAGGTGAAGTTCCCAATGGCTGGAAAGAGGGAAATATAACCCCCATTTTCAAGAAGGGGAAAATGGATGACCCAAGGAACTACAGACCACTCAGTCTCACCTCTGTGCCTGGCAAAATCTTGGAGCAGATTCTCCCAGAAGGCATGCTAAGGCATGTGAAAAACAACAAGGTGCTTGGTGACAGCCAGCATGGCTTCACTAAGGGGAAATCCTCCCTGAACAATTTGGTAGCCTTCTATGATGGGGCTACAGAACTGATGGACAGGGGTAGAGCACCTGACTTGTGTAAAGCATTCAACACTGTCCCACATGACACCCTTGTCTCTAAATTGGAGAGACATCAATTTGATGGATGGACCACTCGGTTGGTAAAGAACTGGCTGGAGGGCCGCATGCAAAGAGTTCTGGTCAACGGCTCGGTGTCCAGTTGAAGACCAGTGGTGGAGTGGTGTCTCTCAGTGATCGGTGTTGGGACCAGTCTTGTTCAACATCTTTGTCGGTGACATGGACAGTGGGATTGAGTGCGCCCTCAGCAAATTTACTGTTGACACCAAGCTGTGTGGTTCGGTTGATACGCTGGAGGGAAGGAATGCCATCCAGAGGGACCTTGACACGCTTCTGAGGTGGGCTGATACCAACCTCATGAAGTTTAACCATGCCAACTGCAAGGTCCTACACCTGGGTTGGAGCAATCCCAGGCACAGCTACAGGTTGGGCAGAGAAGAGATTCAGAACAGCCCTGCGGAGAAGGACTTGGGGGTACTGGTCGATGAGAAAATGAACATGAGCTGGCTTCAGGGTGCACTTGCAGCCCAGAAACCTCCTGTGTCCTGGTCTGCATTAAAAGAAGCGTGACCAGCAGGTTGAAGGAGGTGATGCTGCCTCGCTACTCCGCTCTTGTGAGACCTCACTTGGAGTACTGTGTGCAGTTCTGGTGTCCTCAACATAAAGACATGGAGCTGTTGGAGTAAGTCCAGAGTAGGGCCAAGAGGATGATCAGGGGACTGGATCATCTCACGTATGAAGGCAGGCTGAGAAAGTTGGGGCTGTTCAGCCTGAAGAAGAGAAGGCTGTGTGGAGACCTCATAGCAGCCTTCCAGTATCTGAAGAGGGCCTATAGGGATGCTGGGGAGGGACTTTTCATTAGGGACTATAGTGACAGGGCAAGGGGCATGGGTTCAAATTTAAACAGGGGAAGTTTAGATTGGATATAAGGAGGAAGTTCTTTACTGTTAGGGTGGTGAGGCACTGGAATGGGTTGCCCAGGGAAGTTGTGAATGCTCCATTCCTGGCGGTGTTCAAGGCCAGACTGGACGGAGTCTTGGGTGCCATGGTATAATGTGAGGTGTCCCTGCCCATGGCAGGGGAGTTGGAACTGGATGATCTTGAGGTCCTTTCCAACCCTAACTATTCTATGATTCTATGATACAGCAGCAGTATGGGGTATTCATGTATGCAAGGCTTAAAAGGAAACTTAC